GAGAAGTTAAGGTATATGACGTCAACCTTCCCCTTGCAATCAGCAGGTTAGTTATACATGAGTGACTTCCTCGAAAACCGTGGTGATGGGGTGAAAAGAATTTTATGGATAGTAAGAATTGTGTACGCAGTGACCGAGAACACTGTTGTAGACAATCGAAAGTATTTGATTACAAAATTAGACAATGTCTCATAAAAATCTGAGGGCCATGCACTGAATACTCCACTTGCAAAATGTCAATCAGTTGTCTCATACTTCACTGTTCTCCCGTTTCTACATTATTCATCCTCTGTTCTCGTTTTCTTTAATTTGATCACCATAATCTTCTGCCCGCATGCATTTCACTTTCGACTGATGATAGAAACCACTTATAACTATCGACATCAGCAGTACACACCATAGTGCAGGCTCTATACTTTTCAAGGGCATATTTCGAAGAGCTACCGTTCTGTAGTTTGTAAAGCTTAGGAAGTGGAAGAAAACACCAGTACTTATAGGATGGAAACCTCATGGATCTAGGATCATCAAAGCATTATTCAGAACAAAGGAGGAGAGAATTACAATAAATGTTATCCAATGTTATGCAACCGTCAATGATAGCAATGACGACGATAAACATCAGCTTTACGAGGGCCTGCAACCGACCATAGCGAAATGCCCAGAAAAGGACCTGACCATCGTGATGTGAAATCTAAACGCCAAAGTTGGCATGGAAAACAATCGGTATGATAATATCATGGGACGACATGGACTGGCGGGGAGAAAGGAACGAGAATGGTGAGAGATTCGCAGACTTATATGCATTCAACAAAATGCTGATAGGCGGCACAATATTCCCACATAAACACATACAAAATGCTACATGAATCTCACCAGATCACACCACGGATAACCAGATCTATCAAATTTGCATCAGTAAAATATTCAGAAAGTCAATGGAAGACATGCGGAAAAAGAGAGGAGCTGACATAGTTTCAGATCACCCTCTGGTGGTAGCCATGATGAAACTGAAGCTAGAGAGTGATTGGACAGCTGGACAAACAACATTACAAAGGTTCAGTAGAGCCTTCCTTCGACATACTGACAAACTGAACGAATTGAAGATAACTCTCGACAGCCGTTTGCGAACCTTACAGGATCTACAGGAAGAAGAAGAAGAAACGATTATAGAGAACAACTGGAAAGAGATCAGAGAAGCATTAACCTCAACATGTCAGGATGTGCTGGGTTGCAAGGAGCATCACCATAAGGAATGGATCTCCATGGAAATAGTGAACAAGAAAGGAAGAACAAGAAGAACTAGTATGCACTGTTATTACCAGTTTGTTTACTTTGATAGAGGCGAAGTCCCAAATTCTGTTAGCATTCTAGACACAAAAAATCAACAGGATGGAATATACTGCAACCTGAAATATCGAAACAAATGGCACGAAATATTGCTGTTTCACTGACTACGACATTTTTTATGTTACTTAGCTGAAGTGAGTTACCTGCGAACTGAAAGGATGAAATTGTCGCTCTTATTCCTAAAGCAGGATCAAGACCACTCGCATCAAACTGTAGACTTGTAAACCTTACCAGTGTAGTAGTTAGAATACTGGAAACAATATTCGGAAGATCACGGTGACATTCGTGGAGACCAAAAGCTTATTAAAGACCGATTAACTGTTAATTAAGCTGGGAAATCTAGGAATTGACTGACCTTTCCTCTAGTACATCAAGGATTTCTTGACAGATCGTAGAAAAAAAGTAAGAGAAAATCTCAAATGCTTCTTCTAGAAATCAGTGCATAACGGAGTATCCCAAGGCTCTATCTTAGGTCCTTTGCCTTTGGTACCTTTTGTAAGTAAACTATCAAGTGTAGTTGAGTACTTGATGTCATTTTACGCCGACGATGAAATAACAGGGGACGTAAATTTGTGAGCTTCTCAAATGGGCTTAGATGTTCTGGTTAACTGGTTTCAAGAATAGTAGATGCCTGTTAACACCGCCAAGTGCGACTTGAAAATCTAATCCTCTTCAATGTGTCCTGTCGTGGGTTTGTAGGTGATCTGATTTCGATGCACGGAAGTCTAAGAAGTTCTTTCAGACATAATATACACAAGCTTTTTCCTCTTATTAAATTAAGATGACCTAGGGGACATGTCACGAGATTTCAAAGGATACTTGAAAATAACGCACCTGTGTCATTCCTGTTTTCACACTGAGTTATCTAGTGTTTGAATCTGTTGGAGATTGTAAAATAGTCCTAAACGGTTATTCTCGTATACAGAAGGGCAAATAATTGAAATTAATAAATTATCCACAAAATCTTTTTTTGGGATTGATCAACATATGCTCATTGGTGACTGGCTTCAAGATTTGTATCCGGGAGTTCTGGTGACAAGCAGTGGCCAGTGGAATTCAACCAGGTCAGTTGTGAGACGGTAACTCACTAATGACAATAGTGGATGTGTCGCTCAATTTGGTGGATTAGTTGAGGTTAGACATTAACACTGCTGGATGGCGGCTCAAAGGTCTAGTGGTTAAGCGCTCGCGCGCAAGACCAGTGTGTCATGGCTTCGAATCCCGCGAAGCAAGATCGTGGTTGCACACTGCTGGGGAGTCACACAATAAGACGAAACGGACATCCTGTTCTTCCAGGTTTTCCATGGTTGTTTAGCTTCAATTGAATCATGATCTCACAAGTGACATTGAGAATATGTATGGAGACTATAATTTATGGACGAACCAATCAGATATAAGATAATTAGTCTTGATTTGTGGCGCGAAATTCACTTGTGCATTTGGCTAAATAGATTCTTGGCATTATAGTGTATGCCAGTTTATAATATGGATGATTTCCTCTACTAAATACATCACGAGTTTAGAACTACTGAACATTTTTCTAAGACGGACAAGTTTTTAAACCACGTATAAGAAGTGTATCCACTTTTTCTCTGATCTTTTATTATACATTTTTGCCCTGTACTTACCGTTCGGTGATTGGCTAACATCATTCAAGGTCATTTCGGATTCGTTCAAAGGCTGTCCGAAGATTATAGTCTCATCAAGGACTTAGAACGCTCGCGTTTCGTCGAAGGGATGATCGTCGGCCCACTAAGAGAACGGTTTTTCCGAAGCCTACCAGTCTGAAAGGGCGTGGGTTCGAGTCCCACTTTTTGGACTGGTGGGCTTTGGAAAAACTTCTCTTAGTGGGCCGGGGACCCTCCCTTCGACGAAACGCTAGCGTACTAAGTCATCTTGTCCCATGACATCTAGACGAGGAAATACCTGAACCGCTACTTGCTGCAAGGAGTTGAGGTAGTCGATTGGATTATCACTTTCTGGTGACGCGATAAGAACTGGATAGTCACCTTCTGGGTGTTCCCGGGTAGGAAAAAACAGTCACCTAGGGTTTTCCAATTTCGCTCTAGTGCATTGCTTGCCGCAAAGCCGTTGGCTGTAGCTCTTTTTACTGCCTCATCACTAGAACAAAAGGCGACGCCCAGAGAGATGATGAAGGGACTATAATCTTTTTGTCTAACATATCCTTCATCATTGCCCAAGCAACCAACAGAGGGGAGATAAAGGAGGAAAACGCGTCAGAATGTTTCCTTTTTCGCCTGTTCGAGGGAAATAATGCGGATTTCCCTTGGTCGCCCTGCAATAGAAAGAAGACAGAATCAATTAACAACGTCATAGATTGTGATTTCAACCCAATTACATTGCGACCTCACGCTTTTCAAAAAGTGAATAACCGTTGTTTTTAAAGGATTCCCGAGCTCCCAATTTAGGGGAAAACCTGACCCATTTTTATGAGATTTTGGGGGAGCCGCTTTAGTGAACGTTGTGGAAAAATGGCACAAAAGCCCTGAAATTTCCCCAGACCTGAGGAGATTCCCCAAAATTTCCTCAGAATTTCGCAAATTTCCCCAAACTTGGGAGCTTGGGTATCACGGGTTGTGGAAAGGGGAGCACAGTCTAGTTACTTCGTATCTGTCTTATTTGTTTGTCCTTTTTGTTTGTTTGGGTTATGTATACTGATATAAATAGCAGTTGGATATCCATCACATGTGATGGGTGACGATAATGCATCTTCGTTGTAAGAGCTAAATTCGCCAATGGTTTATCAAGATGTGGTAAAAATAAGTTTCATTCACCATTTAAAGCGTTGTTTGCCAGAAATGTGTCCTAATATTATATTCAATCTAAAATCGCATGCACTTACTACGTATGCTTAATCTCATAATGTAATATGTATACGTGAAAAAGTAGATGGATGTACATGAAATGATCTGTCCGAAAATTATAATCACAATGAAAAAGTTTCAAAAAACAGTAAGGCTCCATTGGTACATCAATGTTGCTATTCAGAATCCTTATACTGAAATTCAATATTAATCCACGTTTGTTATAATGTCACTCCAATAATTTAATTTGTAACAATCTACTACAAAGCGAATCTTACAATAGTGTTAATCAACACTAAACAATGCTCCCACTGGATAGCAAAAAGTTATTTCAAATTATTACCTAAATTATCCCTTCACCCTCAATGACATCTCTGTAGTTTGTCTCGTCATGAAAATAGCCTTGCGCTGTGATCTCGTATAAATCCGCAGTCTTTGTGTCAGTGGAAAATAAACAGCTTAGTGTTATCGCGCCTAAAGGTTAAGAATAAGAAATCCCGTTTTACTCCGTATGGTGCCATAAAACCGGACTTCTGGAAATCTCAGCTCTTTCCAAGTAGTTTAAGGATCCTGGCTACCCAGGTTCCATGACATAGGACAAAATATAGCGCATAAAGATTTTGGATTATCATCTAGTGATCGCGTCTCCATGGCCATCTGACATTTAAATTGGTAATGAAAAAAAAGAGTGAACTTTAGGTTTGTTATTCATGTTGAAGACATCTACCCATGGTTTTCAGTTCCTCTTCAGTTGATAAAGGGAAATGAGAATTTGGTGATCCAGTACCAAGTTTTTGTTGATTATCACTAACACTATACTTAGACGGTTATATAAAACTGCCTAACGTCATCACTCAATTTAATATTGTTGATGACATGTACTACAGAACAAAATGTAGTTTTGTAAATCCAAAAAAACAGACTTTAATTGCAACTGTTACTTACTCACCTGCGATTCTAGTGCCAACGTATGTTGACATGGAAGTTGAACGCAGGACTGCAACTTGTGTGGGACTTATACATGTTTATATATTTAACGTACCGACTGCAATTGGAGATACTGGTGTGCCCAGCTTTCTGAATCCCGAATACTGAGCACGACTGTTTTCAGCCTGCACTTCAACACTCATGTCAACGGAGTTATACAGGTACTCTGGTTTCCATTTTACTGCGTTTGTAAAATATTGACGTGAATAACGTACTTACATTGTGGACTTCTTTGTACTCAGTGGTAATTTTCATCAGACAGTCAGTCATCAGACAAACTTTTGGCATGTCAACTGGCCAATTATCTGAACAAAGCTAATAACTCCTTAGGAGTTTGCACATTATTTTGGGAAATGAGTGTGTGTAGATCACCTCTGTAATAACCCACATGTAATAACCAGCCTATTGTCATCTGGTTGAGCAATTTTTCGGGTACATTTTCGGTAAACTGGCAGGATACTGCATAGTTCGTGAACAAGTTACTTGCTTGCTACAACAGTTAGTTGGTTCTTGCTTGATGAGTTGTTGACTACGAACTCTTTAGTTTTTGGCTAAATGATATTTTAAATTCAGAAATTAGTTCAAATTAATAGCTTGTGAGTAAGTGAAACACAAAAATGTATTCAGTAGCGGGACTATCACAAGATTATGTACTTATTTAGTGGATATGCACTTACAAGATACATCTGTAAGTGCAACGTGCCCATGACTAACAAGAACATCGATGTACCTATGTCATTGTCATGATGCATAAAAACATTTCGTTTTGTAAACTTGCTAATTAGTTATTGTTTTATATTCAATGCTCAAAAATTCCGGTAAATTATAGTGCTCTTGCAGCCACTTTTCCAAAGGTTTTCACGTCTGTTACTACTTGATCTCTGTTAGTTTCTCTATAGTCTTATCATCTTCTGAAGATTGCTTACAATATCAACTTAAATCTTGAGACTTTATTTTCGATTTTGAGATGGTCAAATGATCTAACTTCACTCAAGATCACTGACTATTTAAAAATATCATTACTTGTCCTAGTAAAGATCATTCGCCGATTTTTGAAATTGTTTCATTTGTGTTACCTTTAATCTTCAACCACTTCGGAAGCGATGACTTTATAGTTTGACGAGAAATCAAGCGACAAAGATGAAATACTGTCCATTGCATTTTATAAGCATATTTTATGTATTGAGATCTGGATTGTTTTATGAGATATCGCTCACAATTTGAAACGCAAATGAATCCTAAGGGTGAAAATATTGCTTAGTAATGTTTGAGAGCTCAGTGTTCGTTCGAATCAAGGATTAGTATGTATTCAGTGCTTATTAATTCTGTAGTGGAACTGGGAATGCTTCGCCATATAACGTTCACTGCATGTTAATAACGATCTGGACCTAGTGGGTTTCTGGCTTTATAGTAAGATCAGTGGGCTCAGTGAGTTACATGTCTGAAACTTTATGAACCGTCTCCCTCAATCTTCTTACAATTATCCCATCTAATCAGCGTTTGACTGTAGTAGATCGCTATTAAAATGTCACAAACATTTTAGTCGATGAGTTTTTGTAGCTTCATTAACTGATTTACCACGTTTTACTAGTACCCTAGATTTAATTACACCACTACTCCCTTTTGCGTTCTATTATACATGGGGGGAAGGGTGCTTTAAAGACCTCTACGGACTAATACTATTAAGTTACGTATATTCTCTACCTTCAAAGTTTATGCTTATCAGTCACTGCAAAACTCCGTCCTTTGGTTGATAGATTAACATGTTTTCGCTATATGAGGGACCCAATTTCAAAGGTGAATCAAATTCTTATGATAGGAGTGTTTAATGCTATTTTGCACCAAGAAATTAGTTAAATAATCTTCATTTTCACAGACAAGTTCAAACGCGATGACAATGAAAGATTGAAATTTAATACTGTGCTACAGTCTATGAGTTCACTTAAGATTTTCGTAACTGAAATACGCTGAGAAGCAAATTTTCGTCCTGTCTTCTTCAAATACTCGTTACAATAAACCTGTTTTCTATCGAATTGAGAAAGGAACAGTGAAGTCAAGTGACTTTTGTATTTAATACTAGTCTTTTCATGATAATGTATTCTCGACAGAAATAAAGTCCCAGTGTTTATTTTTTAACAGGACTTGAAGTAAGAGTTGAGTATCAGGTTCATTTATTTGTGTGATTTTTGACCATTTTTTTACTGAGAGTGTGGTAGTCATAATATTTTATTCGAAGGTTAAAACTGTTAAGAAGTCAAAGATAATGATGAAAGACTTCTGTGTTGCTTGTTTTCCCTCACTTTTTTGAATAAGAGTTCTTGATAAAATTTAAAATGATATATCATTGTTCCCAAGGTTTATTACTCTGTCACCCTTATTTTTTCCACAGGTGGTTAGTTCTCACTCAAACAACTTTCTCTGGTAATATCCTTCAAATTAATGTCGCTTGGCCAAAATTTTTCTGACGTAATCCTTGTTTCTATATGAAAGTTACTGGATTTAAACACTGAAACCCGGACTAGAAACATGCCACAAATTGCAATCGATGGTGTAGAGATTGATTTTCCTTATCAACCATATGATTGCCAAATTGAATATATGACAAAGGTTCTGTTATCATTAAATGAGGTAGTATTTCCATCCTATTGATTTTATGTTTTTTATCGGATTGAGTAAATTTGGTAGTTTTTGTTTTCTGTGCAAATCATAGTCAATTAAACTGACTCATTTATTTTATCGAAATATTCATGTTCTTATTTTGTATGTTTGTCTAAGTATGGTAATTCTTGAAAATCTATTGTTTTAGGGTAAACATGCCATTTTGGAGTCACCTACTGGTACCGGTAAAACGTTATGCCTGTTATGCGCTTCATTGGCATGGCTTAATAAACAAGCGAATTCAGTACAATCAATAACAAATGCTAAACATCAAAATACAATGGGTAAACGGCCTACCAGTGATAATGTTGATAATACGTTATCTCATCAGAATTTTCTTGCAAGTTTGGGTAAAGTGAATAATGGATGTAAGATTATTTTTGCATCAAGAACCCATTCACAACTAGCACAGGCTATTAATGCATTAAAACGGACGGTTTATTCAAGGTAAGTTAAGACTGTATTAACAGGTTTTTTTTCAAAGGATTTGCTTTGTACGTAAAAGTGTTATAACTAATATTTTTATCAGTTCAGTTATTCTTTAAGCGTGATAGATATCAATGGAGTAACAATGTAATGTGCCTTCATTTGTTGATGATGATAAAAGCATGTTCTTTTGCTGGTCAAAGTTTATCGATCACCACTTGAAATATTGTCACTATGGTAGTAACCTTGGTAGTTTTTTTTCCGATGCTGTATAATCGGAAATTTTTATAGACTGGAATTACTACCACTCATCGCAATTAGAACGTAATAAATAATGCATTATGTCCCAGTCTTATATTATGAAAAGTTATTCAGTCTTTCAAGTGGATTCTTTTTGTTAATCATTTTCACTGATTGTTATTCTTAATCAGTGTGAAAATATGCGATGAACGACTTGATGTTTAGGGTTTATTAAAAGTTATTTTGGTTCGATTAATGAGTTAATGATGAACTTGGCTTTCACATAGTTATTATCAAACTTACCAAAAGTGAATGATGATATGTTAAATCAAATCAAAGTTATTTTGAATGTTTTATTCCAGATTTATGTCACCTGTAATAAATGACTGTTCATGACAACCATTATATGCTCAAAAATGAACAAAAAATGTAGTCATTTCATCTTTAGCTCCTGTATAATCTTGTCAAGTAACGATGATTCGACTACTAAAAGTAGTATGCTTTTCTATAACTTCTTATTTTCCCTTTACATGTGTTTATCACCAACCAACTCAGAACATAAATCATACACGTTACTTATGAATATATATTTTTATACTTTTGTAACCAGTTTCAGGAGACTGAACTTCTTTTTACTTTAAAGTCCCATCTTTTATAGCGGTTTAATATTAACAAAATATTTCCATCAGATAATTTCGGGAAAAGTAGTTTGTCATGTCATTCTATAGATATATTCTTCCGCGGTTGATTTATATCCACTTTGTAATTGAATAAATGCTTTTTCTGTCAGTTTATTTACCTACTAATTAGAGTTTTTGATCAACTTCATTCCACTACATTAAAGACATAGCGTCAGTGTCGTCGGGTCAAGAGACCAATTGTGTCTTCTTCCCGATGTAGCGTCGTTAGAGTCGAATTCTGCCAAAATTTATGCGTGCCGTATGAGAGTCCAAACGAGAACGTGTGAATATTTCAGGAATTTTGACTGTAAGTATGCCAATATGTAAAATTTATTTTTCTTATTTGATCTACTCATATTGTCACATTTCCTATCAATGTATTAAACCTACTGTAGTATTTTCCTAGTTCAAATATTTTCAGTATTATCATGGTCTTTACAGATTGTAAACTCAAAGATGCTGAATACTTGGAGAGTTTACTTCCAGTTCTACATTTTATGGTACTTCGTCTTTTTGATCATGAATTCTCAAAGTGTCGTTTACATTTGTTAGCTATACTAAGTAACTACATTCATCGGTAGAAGTGAAGTCAATAACACGTTACTGTACTTTCAAAGCAGAAAATAAGTTGTGAATGAAATTATACCATTGAGTACCAACTTAACATTAAACGTGGTAGACGTAAATTCATTCACTTTTCATTTTACTACAAAAATTATATATATAGCACCATTTTACTTCCTTTTTGTCGCCTTACTTCTTTCAGTATCTTGAATCCCTTTTTCTGACGGTCGTTCTGTTGATGACTTTTTTGTTACATTTTTGCGAAATTGTTTTAAAAGAAAACGTAAATGTCTAATTTAAACTAGATGTGTGGTACGATATAATGGCGAGATAATAATATAATATGTATTAATATATGTAAAAGAGTAATCTGTTAGCGGTTAAGTCGTTCGACTTTCAGCCTTTAAGTCCTAGATTCGAAACCCGTTCTACCTACTTCAGTTTGAGGAACCAGCCCTCACACCTATAGTGCAGCTCACAGCCGCATCTAATAAGTTAGTTAATTCAAGAAGTTATTAACTACATATAGTCGGCTAGGAACACTATACAATAATACTCGATAATTAGATCACTAGATTAAACTGCATGATATACAGATAGATAATTTTAACCAGCACCTGAGAACTATACAGTCTGAACTAAAGTAACCGTTTGTTAACACTTTCTGAAATCCAGAATATAGTACAGTAAAATCATTTGTAAGAAGAAATTCGTATTATTATATAATGTCATACATCTAGCATATCTGTATCTCTGTCTTTGCTCAATGACCAATCACTTGATATATCAATAATATTGTATAAACCCTATATTAGATTTCAAATCTTTCCTGTTTATTTATTTAATTAGTTATTGAATATATACTACTTTTATAATAATATAGCATATATATATATATGTGATAAATAATTATGAACCATTTATTGTTTCATTTCTTATTATTCAGCTAAACGTGATGATATTTTAACCAATTTAAAATCTGAAGGTATTGTCGATATTGAAGATTTATCTAATTATGGTCAAAAAATAAAGTAAGAATTTCTCTCTATTTGATTTCATAAATTCCCTTCTCATTATGTAATCATAATTATTACCTCAATTGTTTTTTAAAAAAAACAAAAAATTAAATATGACTATAGCGATCGGTTGAGAAATGTGAGAATTCTCTAACGGGCGAATCAATTACTCTTTATGTTATTAAGGTTGTAAACTCTTGTTCTTTTTTTTCTCCTAAAAGATAGGTGTAAATAATGTTTGTTAGTGTAATAAATATAACTCTTTAACTAAACTGTCCAATTCTGTAAACAGTGTTGAGAACCATTTGAATCAAAGAGGTGAAAACGACCATGAAGTACAAGTATTGTGTGTAGTTGAGTTAATACTATCCAATTATACACACCCATTACATTTGAATTTCACACTAAATTCAAACAGCAGCAATCTATGTTCCCAATCTCCATAGACCTTAGCCTTAAAAAAAATAGGAGTTTAATCACTGTAGGACAAACTGTGAATATCATGAACGTATAATCACATTTATTTAGTATCAACTATGGACATTAGACTGACACTTAGTCGGTTTATCACACAATTATAAACATTTGATTAATTTTAAGTTAGTTTAAACATTGAAATCACGAATCGATCAATGTTAGACCACCATTGATAACCTGAAAGCACTGGACGGCCGTATCGTCCTATGTTAGCGGTATATAAATTGAATTGAAGCATATTCCATGAAGGATTGTGTTGAGGCACGTTGATTGGCTATTTCTTATCCAACCAACGCTAGAAGAGACTTGGACAATATTCTAGAATCTTCTTATTTTAAATATACTAACGTTTTTCTTATTGTGATCCCTACTTTCATCTAACGTTTTTATTTGGAATATAATTAAGCTCCTATTCAATCATGTTCTAATTTGGGGACTTGTCGAGTGAAGCAGTGTCTAAGAATACTGCGCAATACGAGTATTTCGACAGAAATAAAAGAAATTATAACATCCTAGCATGGGGCTCAGCAGTGCGCATCCACGATCCTGTACGCGGGACCCAAACCCGGGATCTTCAGTCCCGCGCAGATGCTCAACCTCTAGACCACTGACCTGGCATTCAGTGGTGTTATTGTGTAGCTTCAACCAATCTACGACATTGAGCAACCATCTTCTACTGTCTTCGGTGGGTAACTGCCTCACACTTTACACGGTTAAACTCCACTGGTCATGGCTTCTCACTAAGACTCCGAGACTTCCCTCTAGAAGCTAGTCACTGGTAATCACATGAATTAATTATATCTTTGCCACAAGTTGTTGATGATTTGGTCTTTAAGTAACCCATTCTTAACAGCTTACAGAATGGTGTAGTTGGTGTTAGAAAAATTCTTAAAAAACACTATCCCTTATTTGTATTAGAAAATAACATCAATTATTGAGAAGTCATCTAGTGATAGCAATTTACAAATACCTTGTGGTCGGATGTTAACAGTTAAAACCAACTCCCAATAATAATTTTCTAAGATTATTATCATGAACAGTCATAGAACGAAAGAATAACATTATTACTGTCAGTGGCATCTAGCGGTTTTAAATCTGACCATTCTGTTTCCATTTTTTTACTTCAGTTCCTTTACCACTGATAGGATTAATGGGCAGGATTTAGGCAATTTACTGAAGAGTGGGTGATCTACAAAACTGATTTTCCTCTGTAGCTTGTGACATTTGATCATGTTTGCTTTCCTGGTAATAACTTGTGTATAGATTGAGATAGCCTTCTATCAGTGTGCATTTGTTTACGAAATTAGTCAGTTAGTTGTAATGTATTGCTTTAAAAAATCTATTTTGTTTCAAGTTGCCACACGATGTCGTCGTCATGAGATCATAGTAACAAGATTAATAACAAAGTAGCCGAAACACTAACAGTACCCTAATAGTAAGACAACATATAGAAAATGTAGTTGGAAAAAATGAGAGAGGATAAAATGTACTAAATAATTTTGTTAATCAAGATTTGGAGAAAGATTATAAACGAGAGTGTCTCAGCAACACTCTAGTCAATTTTCGGCTGTCACACAATGTCTACAACAATTGATCACCAGTATCTTATGTACTCAATCCTTGGTCAAAGACTAGTGTCTTTTACTGTTACGAAGCTTTGTATATGAATTGATATATAATTGATAATTTATTTATTCCACTAGTTTTTATGAAACAAACGACTATCTAAAATCTCTCTGAGAGATTTTGGATTGAATTGAATCCATCATATATTGACGTCAGTACTGTTAAGAGTAAAACAGTCATCAATAATGGTATTTAATGGTCGTTGCACAGTGCCACAAATTAAATGAAATCGTGGATGTAGACTGTTGTATTCCATCTAAATGGTTTAATAGTTAAAAACTCACTTCAAGACATGTAAGTTATAGGTCTGATCCCTGGTGCGATTTTGGGTGCTAAGGGATTCTGTAATATAACTTGGTTTTCAATTGTATCCAACTGATTTCATTCTGTGAAAAATGTCGCCCCAGTCATAATCTACGTAGTGGATGGCACAGATGTGTGTTGGCCCACGTCACAGTACCAAATTAGCACAATGAAACTAACAAGTTAAATATTATAGGAGTCGAAATAATTTTGTAGCAACTATAATGAGGAGGACTTAGCATTAGGTATACGGTTTGTAAATACAGTACTTACTTACTTACTTACTTACGCCTGTTACTCCCTATGGAGCATAGGCCGCTGACCAGCATTCTCCAACCCACTCTGTCCTGGGCCTTCTTTTCTTGTTCCATCCAATTCTTGTTCATTTTTCTCATGTCTATCCCCCTTTCTCAGCGTAATGTGTTCTTTGGTCTTCCTCTTTTCCTTTGGCCTTCAGGATTCCATGTGAGGGCTTGTCTTGTGACGCAGTTGGTTGCTTTCCTGAATGTGTGTCCTATCCACTTCCAGCGCTTCTTCCTGATTTCTTCCTCCACTGGGATCTGCTTTGTTCTCTCCCACAGTACGTTTTTGCTAATAGTGTCCGGCCAACGGATCTGAAGTATTTTGCGTAGACAATTGTTAATAAACACCTGTATTTTCTGGATGATGGCTTTCGTAGTTCTCCAGGTTTCTGCCCCATACAGTAGAACTGTCTTGACATTTGTATTGAAAATTCTGACCTTGGTGTTGGTTGACAGTTGTTTTGAGTTCCAGATGTTCCTCAGTTGTAAATATGCTGCTGTTGCTTTGCCGATCCGCGCCTTCACATCTGCATCAGATCCACCCTGTTCATCAATGATGCTGCCCAAATACGTAAAGGTTTTTACATCTTCCAAATCTCCGTCAATTGTGATTGGATTGGTGCATTCTGTGTTGTATCGGAGAATCCTGCTTTTCCCTTTGTGTATATTGAGACCTACTGCTGCTGAGGCTGCTGCCACACTGTTCGTCTTCTCCTGCATCTGTTGTTGCGTTTGGGATAGAAGGGCCAGATCATCTGTGAAGTCTAGATCATCCAACTGCATCTTAGATGTCCATTGTATCCCGCGCTTCCCTTCAGACGTTGACGTCTTCATGATCCAGTCGATCACCAGGAGAAAGAGAAAGGATGGGAGTAAGCAACCTTGCCTAACACCGGTCTTCACTTCGAACGACTTTGTCAACTGTCCTCCATGCACAATTTTGCAGTGTAATCCATCATATGAGTTCTGTATGATATTGACTATCTTCTGGGGCACGCCGTAGTGTCGAAGAAGTTTCCATAGTGTTGTTCTGTCCACGCTATCAAATGCCTTTTCGTAGTCAATGAAGTTGATGTAGAGTGATGAATTCCATTCAATTGATTGTTCCACAATTATCCGTAGAGTTGCGATTTGGTCTGTACACGATCTATCCTTACGGAATCCTGCCTGTTGGTCACGAAGTTGGGCGTCTACGCAGTCCTTCATCCTGTTTAACAATACCCTGTTGAAGACTTTTCCCGGTATTGAGAGAAGAGTGATGCCCCTGTAGTTATCACACTTGCTGAGATCGCCTTTCTTTGGTATTTTGATCAGTAGTCCTTCTTTCCAGTCTGTTGGTACTTGTTCCTCATCCCAAATCTTATTGAAGAGAATGTGGAGTATCCGTGCAGTTGCCGCTATGTCTGCTTTTAGTGCCTCTGCTGGGATGTTGTCCGGTCCTGCTGCTTTGCCACTCTTGATTTGTCTGATGGCCATACTGATTTCTTCAATTGTTGGTCGGCCAACATTGATTGGGAGGTCCGTGGGTGCTGCTTCGATGTTGGGTGGGTTCAGTGGAGCTGGTTGATTCAAGAGTTCTTTGAAGTGTTCTACCCACCTGTTTTGTTGCTCTTCAATGTTCGTGATTAACTCGCCTTCCTTGCTTTTGACTGGTCGTTCTGGTTTGCGGCGATTTCCAGAGAGTTTCTTTGTCGTATCATACAATTGTCTAATGTTTCCTTCTCTTGCAGCCTTTTCCGCCGTCGTTGCTAAATCTTCCACATATTTACGTTTGTCGGTTCTGATACTCCTCTTCACTTGTTTGTTTACATCTGTGTATTCAGCTTGTGCCTTGGGTTTTTCTGCTCTTGTTCGGCTGTTATTGATCGCTGCCTTCTTGTTCCTTCTTTCTAGAATCTTATCCAGTGTACCAACAGTGATCCATTCCTTGTGGTGGTGCTTCTTGTGACCCAGGACCTCATGACATGTTGAAGTGATTGCTTCTTTGATCCCCTTCCAGTTGCTCTCCACAGTAGTTTCTTCTTCATTGAGTAGATCATGAAAGGCCTGGAACTTGCTGCTGAGGACTATCTTGAATTTGTTGAGTTTGTTAGTATCCTGAAGAAAGGCCGTATTGAACTTTTGTGATATTGTCTGCGCCGATCGAAGCTGCTACCTTGACGCGGTGGTCGGGCTTGCCTATCGTGATGACCCAACCGAGCTATATTGGCTGGAACATATGTTCCTGCAGGTTCTACCATGCCAGGCAGGTCGATTGGTGAACGGTAAGACTAAAAGCAGCAACTCAAGGTCTGAGGGCGAAGTCGTACTGTTGACTGTAGAGGGGTGTGACAGCAGTAAGGTGTTTCCCTCGGACACCCCTCCCACAAGGAGGGGTGGGGTTAGAAAAAGTCGACCCTAAAAATGTCACACCTCACCTTACCTCACGGATTTCCGTCTCCGGCGGTAAGGCCCTTCGAAGAACGGAGCTAACACGTCAAAAACCTTCCACAAAAAGGCCGTGCGCGACCGGCCTCAAGCAGTTGTCCCTTGGGCTCTGCGGTCACGCTCCCAGGTCGTCAAGACCAACACTAATCCAATTTCCTTTTCAGGTTCCTCAAGAAATACCCTTCCACGGTGTGGGCAGCCGGGAAGTGACATCAGCCCTCATACCCGTAACAGCACACGAGACCAAGTTGGTCACATTCAAATCCTTACTACACCTCCTAATACCTCTCTTTATCACCTCGCACCGCTAGGGCAAACGATTCGAGTACATGGAACGCCATTCCTGGTCTCCTGAAACCACGCTCTAAACTACACGTAGGAGCTTTTAACGTCCGAACACTGTGCCAAATAGGATAGCAGGCTTCCTTAGCTAGGACTTTAAAATCTCGCGCCATCGATGTGTGCTGCGTCTCCGAAACGCGCATACAAGGTCCGAGTAGCGTCATTCATTTGACCTCACCCTGCCAAAATAAAGAACCGACTCGATTTACGCTTCGTATATCTGGAAGCCCTGATTCTGCTTCCCGTGACCTCGCCGGCGTAGGTATAGCATTGAGTCCTAGAGCAGAACTAGCTCTCTTAGAGTGCGCTGTCCGACTGAACAGAACAGTTAGGATCCGGAAAGATAGGGACACTCGTCGTTGCCTCTTCGTCGTTTCTGCCTATACTTCCACTGACTGCAGCTCAGATGATGTAAAAGATGAGTTTTACAGAAAGCTTCCCGACCTTCTCCTAAAAGCTAGGCGCTCTGATGTAGTAATAGTGGCCGGTGACTTTAATGCTTAAGTAGGTAAACTAAGCGATAGGGAAAGATGCCTAGGTGGATCTTATGGTGTCGTGGCTCAAATAACAGATAATGGCGACCGTCTGTTGCAGCTATGCTCATATAACCGTCTGTTCCTTGCAAATACTAACTTTAAGCATAAGGAAAAACATGTTTTAACATGGCGACCCCCTAATTCGTCCCAACGTTGGACCCAAATAGATCACATCGCTATCAGCCACCGATGGAGGGACTCGATAGAAGACTGTCGCTCATTCTGGAGCACATGCCTAGATTCAGATCATGCTCTAGTGCGAACGCGTATTTGCTTGCGTCTTACTGGACGTAGGAAAGACGCTGCAAGGAAACCTCTTAGGGGCCTACTTAATGATAGTCAAGCTAAGAGTATATTTCAGGAACAACTAGGAAAATAGTTAGGCATCCATGTATGTGATGCCCACCCCGAGGCAGCATGGAATGATATCCGAAAAGCTGTGGAAACGGCAGTGATATCTGCTAGCAAGGTAAACCAGAAGGTTAGGGAGCAACACTGGATCTCAGCAGCATCTATCGCACTGATAGATGCTTGGAAACTCATTCCACCTGGCTCTGAACATAGTGAACAGCGGAGTCAGCTTAAGCGCAAGCTGACAAGAAGCCTACGCAATGATCGCGAACAGTGGTGGGTAGCGAAAGCAAGAGAGATGGAAAAGGCAGCGGCAATAGGTAATAGCAGACAATTGTTCAGACTCGTTAAGGAAACCGGAATTAGGAACCCGACCGTTAGCGAAACAATCTCAGAGAAAGATGGACATATTATTCATTCTCAATCCAGAAGATTGGATCGATGGGCAGAACACTTTAGGGATCAGTTCAACTGGCCTTCAGCCACACTTCGGTTTCCCACGATCTCTAGTCAACCTGAATGGCAAGTTAATGTAGGTCCTCCGTCCCTTTACGAAGTTGAAAAAGCCATAGGAAATCTGAAACGAGGGAGAGCAGCAGGCCCTGACAGGTTTACTCCCGAGATTTTTAAGGATGGTGGTCCAGTATTATGCGGACCCCAACCAGGTAGTCTGAACCTGTCTGTACATCTCAGATCAACAGAAATTAAATTTCTGAACTGATATTCTGTTTTAGCTTGACAATCCCTAGCTTTCCTCTAGCCTGCTCTTACGCAAGCAAACAGCCCCCGTCGATGTATGCACTGGTTAAGGTTATCTAACACATATCTTCACGACCTTAGTCGACGAAGATTTACTACTTCATCAATCAATTTACTACATTTTCCAAGAACTTTATGCATAACTTCGATATCATTTATTCTGTCGCTTCACGAAAAGGGAGGAATACCTTGAAATTCATGCACAAAACCCTACAGTCTACACATATCTTCTACTTTCATAGACCATGTTTTGTGGACATAAACTGAAACGGAGCATACAGCTGCTCAGTATACTCTCTGTGTGGTTGACAAACAAACATCTCACCTGCTCCACAAGTAAAACAAGTTTACAAAGCCCAACTGGGCTTTTCGAATCCTGGCCTATATTTCACCAGACACCATCCCACCAGAGCTGATGAGACTTCTATAATAAGTGAGGAAACCGAAACTCAACTTCTTCATTCCCTGTGATCGATCTAGGTAACAAGGCAGACCAGTCCTGAAGTATCATTGTTCGTTTAGAGAGAAACTCATCACAAACATGCTAGCATTATTGCTTAAGGGGGTCAGAAGACTATATCTCATCAATTTCTTCACCAAATAAGACAATGTCATCTGTGTATATCAAGTCGATAAGTCAATCTCCTGATAGGAAATCAACCCTTCAAAAGTTAGATCTTAAAACTTCGATTTCTAAGGGGACATCTATGATGAAACTTAATAAAAATGAGGGTAGTGGATAACCCTGACGAACACCACTTGTGGTTGACAATTATGGTGACAGTTTGCCATAATTTCTGACTCAACTAAGTGTTCAAATACAGAGCATTTGCTAGGTTCACATACTTATTTGTTACGACTTTTATTAACAAAAACTCACAAAACCTGTCGATCAACGGAGTTGAATAATGTCTTTAAGTCAGAAAACAACTACAGTCGGTATCTGGTGAGTATACTTCTGGAATCTTAAAAGGGATGAGTATTTGTTCAATGCATCACATTCACTCCTAGTTTTCTGTTCCCGAGCAGCAGATAGGAGACAGATGATTATAGAGGCCAGTGTTTTCAATACTATTTTAGTCAAACTATTTCCTCTGTTGTTACCACGAGATTTCTATCTTTTTATAATCTGAGACGATCAGTGATCGAGATTATCCAGACGGGATTATATCCCGTCACCAAACTCTAGTTATAATCTCAATCAACTTACCTCCTAACATGCGACCGCCGTACTTGAAGTCCGGTCGAGCAAATCTATCTGGTGCTGTTGGTCTCACTCTTTCCGCTAGATACTACCTTATGAACTGCATCAAAAGCTGGAGGAAATCGTGGCATTTTCCTATGACGGTTGTTCAGTGATATTCGTTACATATTATGACGAGTAGATAAAAGTATTTTACAATTTACAACTCATCTTATGGAAATATAAACATTTCGACTTTACATTTCTATATGTTTTCTAAAATAAATTTGTACTGTTTTTTCGTTTTAGATGTTGTCCTTATTTCATATCGAGAGAACTTAAAACCGATTCATCTTTGATTTTCATGCCTTATAATTACGTGCTTGATCCTCGAGTGAGTATTTTCTTTTACCTTTGTATGTATTTCTGTCTCTGTGTTTAGTAACTACTATGATTAACAATAGTTAAGTATTATTCAGACCATTAGTCCTAATTAGCAATCAGATTTTACCACATTTAGATAATGATCGAAGTTAAAGGAAAGGTTAACCTACATACCATAACGACGCGAAGTATGATTTCCTATCAGACTGAATGACTTTATCTATCTGGATTATTTTAAGTTGTTGATACTCCCATTAAAACGGCAAATCTCTGGTGTGTGCTACTTATACGGACAGATATAAATACTATGTGTCAGGGATTAGAAGTAGATTTCTTACTGATAGAAGAGGAAAATAAAGAGTAATAAAAAACAGGAATGAAAGGATGATGTAGTTTTTAAGAGACAATTCAAGAAATATGTGCAAATAACTCACTTGATGCATTGTTTTCATATTTTGCAAAGATACTGTAATTCCGCATGATATAATGAATTTCTCCTGCTCATGTCTTCGTTCATTACAATTGGTGTGGCTGCCTCTACTCATGATGAAGATTCCATGGCAGCAGGATTTTTAGGGATGAGATAGGTTATAAATATATTTTTCCGGAGGTTCAGGTGGTTCTTTATATATTATTCCGCACTAGGGTAGTGTGTCCCCAAGAGACTTGAATGTTGTTTTTTCATCAAGTTGAGCGAGTACCTAATCAATTTCATTACCTTCAAATGAACTCTTTCATCTTGATTAATGATTACTGGTAACTATGATGCCTATTCTATCTTGCATTTTTACTATGTAACGTACATATATGTTACTTATATCTGTCCATATAAATAGCACACATCACAATAGTAGAACCGAATGAGCCTTCGATTTGTACACATAATTTCTCCAAATTCACAAGAAATGAAAATTTTCTCTCACTTTAAGAAATGTTTCATGGCTTTCAGCTTACTAAAAAGTTTGACGTGTCAATAAAAAGTGAAAAAATATTCCCGATTATACAAAATGGCGGCCTGCTTAAATATCAGTGCTACTTGTTCCTGCTATCTGGATATCTCAACAAGTTATCTGCTTTTTGTTTGCTTTAACAGATCATTATGTCTTTTAATCAAATAAACTATTCAGACGCGTTTATGAAAAGTTTACGACCTTTCTCTGTACAAGTTACAAAAAAGTACAGTCAGAGACATCGTGGTGTCTGACATTGAAAAGAATGAACTCAATTCAGATGTCGATTCCTAAACTGCTAACATATAACTGGCGATCACTCAATATTTATCGTCAGAATCGATCAGGAAATGAGAAAAGGAAATTTTTTGAAATACTTTTTGCTTAGAATTCTATATTGTACCAAAAATATAATATTGAATAAAGCAATTGATAGTAACAATAATATGGCTCGCCAGCTGAGTTATTAACATCAGAAAACTTTCGTTACATAATAATAAGGGGTACAAAAATTAAATCTGTAAAGGCGGCTTGGCGACCTGCTCATCGAATTTACAGGATTCCTGTGAGATTTGTTTATGATGACTATGCTACTTAACAGTAACTCGACTTTTATTCCAAGATTTATTCTTTCATTTTAGTGGTGGTTAGTCTAAATTATACTCTCGAACGACAATGACATCTTGAACCAGTTCAAAAGATCAGGAAGTAGCAAACATGAGTGAATAAATTATTGTGTAAAACTAAAGAATTTACAAAGAATACATTGTCTTAACATGATTAATGAACATTTTACGGTCATCCATAGTTTCCTAACAGTTAAAATTTGAGATTAGGATCGTGGTTCGGGGTTAGTTTATCTAAACCATAACTTTTAATACTAAATCCTCACTCCTAATCCCTAAACCACATACCTAATCCTAAAATTAAGCAAAATCCTAACCCTAAAAACATTGTAGTGAAATACTACTGTGTCATGTATTTCTTTAAATCCATGCACAATCATTTCATTTTCATTTGAAAGTTAATGTTGTTCACAGGAATTTAATGTTTTTGAAGTACTTGATAATATTTTCTTCATTAAAATTAAACTCAGTATGACTGATAAAGAATAACTCGCTTTGATGTTTCGATAAACGTCACTAACTATCGGAATGTGCATTATAACATTGATATAAATAAAAATAATATATTTGTAATATCCCAATGAGTAGAAAATTGGATTTTCTGATGTTTCGTGACTTAGTGTAAGTCACTTCTTCAGAGAATAAATAACCAAAAACATTGAAGTAGCTTTCTCTACTCTGATTGAATCGTCAATGTACTCAAGGTTCACCTTTAAATGTTAATTGTAATCTAAGTATTTTCTACTTAGTTGATGCAATTTTTATCAGGTTTGCTTATACTGAATTAAACCAGTCTCTATTGTTTTGGTATGTACTGAAAATTGATTGCTGTAGCTTTTTTTATCATTTTTTCTGTTAGTTTGAACCTAAGCAACTTATATTTACTGTAGAACCATATCTAATATATATTCCAGAAGTTATAACAGTCTTTTAACATAAATCGACTACGGGTACGTTTTACTAACGAATCTAGTAATCCTTTTCAGGATTCTAATTCGATAATCGTGTAGCGCACAAAATCATAACATGAAATGTATGTGGAACAGGGAACTGGTACAAAAACCACAATTAGAAATGAGGTTTGTAAATCTCTAATCGAGAGGTTGCCCAATGTCGATTGTGCCACCAAAAGAACAGTCAAAAATAGATTATGACTTTCAAATAATTGTATATGAGGAAAATTACAAAATATGCTATAAATTAGAGGATAACACACGCCTTTTTCAAGGGTACTAGGGAATAACAATAATAAAATGACACCTATCACTTTAAAATAGGCAAGCTGTTGTGAATTAACAAAACTCAAATGAATAACAGATATAATGGTGATAAAATAATAGAAACAGAGAGGAAAGTGCACTAGAAGTATGAAAACGAATTTAAAGATCGAGAAATAATTGAATCATTTGCAATAATCAGATCTCTGAGATAAAAAAAACATAACGTTGCAGGTTCTTAAAATGACTGGACGTAACACACTACTAAATAATGACAGTTAGTATAGTGTGGTGTAAAACAAGAATTGAACAAGAAAGAGATGAATTTCCGAAGTTCGTAACAGATTCAACACTAATAGATACTGGATACTAGAACATGGTATGTGACAACATATCTCAAAAATCAAATTGGCTAGCTCGAAGAGATTACACTTAAATCGGACGACAGGTTTCCATAACTAAATCATTTTTGCTTACGTAGAAGTGTACCTTAGAAATTCAAACATCGCCACTCTTTCTTTAATGTCAAGGCGAAATATTATTTATCCTACCGAAGTTGAACAGTTGGGTTGTATGACTTCTTATTACATGGCCATTGGAACTGGCAGACTAAGGCACGGGCTTCCACATTACTGTTAAGCAGAAATCATTATTATCTTCACAACTTTTAGGTAGGAAGAGTGGAACACGTGCCAACTGTCGGTCGAAATCATCACACGGCACTAAAAATCAAAACCGATCGCGCTATCCTATTGTCTGTTTTGTTCCATTTCAAATACTAAGCTAAAAGTTATGTCATAAAAGATGTGACAGGACTACGGGTAATCAACTACTATTGCAAATTACTAAGTAATACTACTATAACCAATTTACCCAGTACTGACTTGCGAAATCCACTATCTGGTACATCTTAAAATATAAGGGCTAGTAATTTTATGCCACATATATAGGTGTAGCTGTTTTTAAGTCTGCTGCCTAACTTCGAGCGTCATCATGGCCCTAACGGTTGCTCTTGATAATTATATCTTTTTCCTAGAAATACCTTAATTTTCACAATTTCTTGACTTACATTCATTATATTTTTCAATTACATAATCACAGTTGTTATAGTACTCGCCAATCATTTACAAGATGTATATATATTCATGCATCTTGTTTAATTTGTTAATTTTTTTCACTTTCATAGATTCGAAGTCTTTATAATATTAATCTTGAAAATACAACAGTTATTTTCGATGAAGCTCATAATATTGTAAGTTATGTGATGGATCTACATACCTATTTAGTTAGTTAAATAAAAGTTAACTTCACTGCCTTGTGTTTATATGTCGTACTTATTTTTACCATTTAAACATAATAATCTTTACCTGTACGTAGCTCAATCTTGTACTTTTGTTGCATTCATAAATTACTTGACTTATCCGTTCCATTATGTAGTGAACACGAACAATAGTGGTGACAATAGAATGTATTTCAACATAAAATTACAAAATCTCTTAGTAAAATTTGAGAATCATACAGTTGACTCTTCATTTGCAAGGTGTCAATCAACTGTATCAAACTTAAATGTTCCTTCTGCGAAATGTCAATCAATCGTCTCAGATTTCACGGTTCTTTCGTTTCCACATCGATCATTCTTTGTTCTCGTTCCCTTTCTTCGATGTTCTTAGTCTTCTACCTTCAGGCATTTCACATTCTATTGGTGCAACATACTACTTATATCTGTCGACATCAGTAACACAAAACATACTCGTCCTCCCTTTAAAGCAGTCGTTCTTGCGGCAGTTCTGCTTGCTGTGCCACTTTTTTTACAGTCTGTGCCACTCTCTCCGTCAAAAAGTTGAGTTGGACGCGCTGGTCTCTGTAGCTCCGTCGTCCACCTGGCTCACGGGATGTTCACCGACTGTGCTCCAGCGACATACTGAGCCATCTACATCCGATGTCCACCCGGCAGCTGCACGTCCCACCACTCTCCGTTGACAGCACCCGCTACATCGAACACCGTCCCACCAGAACACTCTACTCAAAGTCAATTGCCTGCACCTGACCGCTTCAACTAACTCCAGGTCCGCAATGGCGTCCGTAGGACAGCACTCTTCGCCCCTCCTGATTGGCAGCGATACCAAATGTAGTGAATGAATACACAAGTACTTATAGGATGGAAACCTCATGGATCTAGGATCATCAAAGCATAATTCAGAACAAAGGAGGAGAGAATTACAATAAATGTTATCCAATGTTATGCAACCGTCAATGATAGCAATGACGACGATAAACATCAGCTTTACGAGGGCCTGCAACCGACCATAGCGAAATGCCCAGAAAAGGACCTGACCATCGTGATGTGAAATCTAAACGCCAAAGTTGGCATGGAAAACAATCGGTATGATAATATCATGGGACGACATGGACTGGCGGGGAGAAAGGAACGAGAATGGTGAGAGATTCGCAGACTTATATGCATTCAACAAAATGCTGATAGGCGGCACAATATTCCCACATAAACACATACAAAATGCTACATGAATCTCACCAGATCACACCACGGATAACCAGATCTATCAAATTTGCATCAGTAAAATATTCAGAAAGTCAATGGAAGACATGCGGAAAAAGAGAGGAGCTGACATAGTTTCAGATCACCCTCTGGTGGTAGCCATGATGAAACTGAAGCTAGAGAGTGATTGGACAGCTGGACAAACAACATTACAAAGGTTCAGTAGAGCCTTCCTTCGACATACTGACAAACTGAACGAATTGAAGATAACTCTCGACAGCCGTTTGCGAACCTTACAGGATCTACAGGAAGAAGAAGAAGAAACGATTATAGAGAACAACTGGAAAGAGATCAGAGAAGCATTAACCTCAACATGTCAGGATGTGCTGGGTTGCAAGAAGCATCATCATAAGGAATGGATCTCCATCGAAATCCTGTTTTGAATTCAAGATAGGAAGAACAAGAAAACGGCAAATAACAACAGCCGAACACGAGCAGAGAAAGTCAAGGCACAAGCTGAATACTTTCAAGCAAGCAAGCAAGTAAAGATGAGATTTAGAGCCGACAAGCAGAAATACGTGGATGAGCTAGTAACGATGGCGAATTAAGCTGTAAGAGAAGGAAATATGAGACAGCTATATAACAGCCAGCACGCGCTAACTTTTAATTAGTGTCACTCCACCAACGTTCGAAGAGATCAGGATGACCTTCAGACAAATCACAAGTGGGAAAGCAGCAGAACCTGACAACACACCAGCCACAGCACTGAAGCCAGACGTCGAAGTATCTGCAAACATGGTCCACGTTCTTATCACGAAGATTTGGGAGGAAGAACAAGTGCCGACAGACTGGAAATAAGTATAACTTATCATTATACCAAAAAGGAGATCTGAGCGAATGTGTGAAGAATCACAACACTGTCAGTACCAGGAAAGTTTTTTAATAAAGTGTTTCTGAACCGGATAAATACTCAGTGGACGCTCGAATTCGAGGTCAACAGGTCAGATCCCATAAGGATTGTCGTGCAAAGAACGAATCACGACACTACGGATCATCGTTGAACAATCATTTGAATGGAACTCATCACTATACATCAACTTACTTGATTATGAGAAAGCATATGACAGTGAGAATAGGAGGAAATTATGGAAACTTCTTCGACACTATGTAATGGGTATGTGAGAAAATCGTCAACATCATCCTGAATTCATATGACGGACTACACTGCAAAGTCATGCATCGAGAACAACTGACAGACGCATTCCCAGTAAGGACCGGAATCAGACAAGACTGTCTATTCTCCACCTTTCTCTTTCTACGAGTGTTTGACTGGATTACGAAAACCTCGACATCGGAGGGGAAGCACGGAATACAATGAATAACTTGGATGCAACTAGACGATTTGGACTTCGCAGATCACCTGGCTTTTCTATTTTCATGGAGTTTTGTTTTGTTTTGTTTTCTTCTGAACGATGAAAGCTCCATGACTAAACCATCCAGCTCAGGGAACAAAACTCCATCAAAATCATCCACCTGAGCTACAAATCTTCCCCACCATCTGGCTCTTCTATCTCATACACATCAACATATGCAGGTCAAGAAAATCAGTGAAGCAGAAGCAGCAGCAGCAGCAGCCTCTGTATGCATCAGTAGGTCTCAACATACACAAGAGAAAAAGCAACATCCTCAAATGCAACACAGAGAACACCAACCCAATCACACTTGACGGAGAAGTTCTGGAAGAGGTGGGAACGTTCACGTATATGGGTAGCATCATCGATGAACAAAGAGGATCTGATACGGACGTAAATGTAAGGGCCTCACTCCTACAGTTGAAGAACATATGGAACTGAAAACAACTGTCAGTCAGTCAAAATCAAGTTCAGAATCCTCAATCCGAACGTCAAGACAGTTATACTGTACGGAGCTGAAACTTCGAGAACTACTACAACCATAATCAGAATCGTACAAGTATTTATAAACAATTGTCTATATGAGATACTCAATTTCCGTTGGCCGGACATCATCAACAACAGCCTACTATAGGAGAGAAGAAACCAGCTTCCATCTGAAGAGGAAATTAGGAAAAGACATAAAAGAGTTGGATAGGACACAGATTGAGGAAATCATCAAACTGCATCTCGAAGCAAGCGCTAACTTGAAATCGTGAAGGGGAACAGAGGAGAGGAAGACCGAAGACCACACTGCATCAACAATTGGAAGTAGACATGAATAGGATGAATAGTGACTGGAAAGGATTGCCTAGGAAAGTTTTATGGAGGATGATGGTGAGAGGACTTTGCTTCTCCATGAGTTGTAACAGGCCTATGTATGGTGGATGTTTGCGAACTAGCGTTACTTGTGACTTAAAGGAGATATCCGTTGGCAACCAAAGGATAAGTTTACTGCGCATCTTTTTGTTCCGTCTTACTGTATGGGTATGAAACTTGTGTATTAAGAATGGAGGACATTCGCAGGCTACTAGTATTTGATGTTAGGTGTCTTTGAACAATCTCTCGTGTATTTAGGGACTACCGAGTATGTAATGTCTGGTTTAGGGATAGGTTATTGAACAAAGATGAAAAATTGACTGGTGGGGCAGTAAATCTTGATCTGCTGATGTGGTTTGGACATGTGTTAAGTATGCACAACCACTGCTCACCAAGGTAGGCGATGTCTTATGTGGGAGCAGGTTGAAAGAAAGCCAGAGTTGCTCGAAGCAAGACATGGCATCAGTCCAAGAAGTCATTGACTTTTGATGGTTATGATACATTTCGCCACTTGCTTCTCTGCTCTTCTGTGATGGTCATCGGAATATTTAAAAATAATCATACTAAACTATATTATTAGTTAATGGACTTTTTGGTAGTTGATCTGCAATGTAGGCGAATGTTCACGAAATATTTTCCTATAGTACTTCAATTAATAAGCGGCGATGTCGTTAGATGGAATTTCTTTTTACCAATGATTTATCATGCAGTGTTATGAATATTATAGTTGATAGTGAACTTGCTTAGATACTTATTATATTTTCAGTTTTGATTTTACTAGTTCAGTTACCGAAGCTAATGTAATACAACAGTAAACATTTCTCTCGCTCTATTCTTGTTGTTGGATAGGAGCAAGTGTGCGAAGATGCTTCATCAGTGACATTAAGTTCTGCTTTATTAGCGTCAGCTATTGAACATGTTAAATGTGTGTGCGAAGTTGTATTTGATCATACTAAGGAGCATCAAGAAATAGAACTTTCAGAGAGTAACTGCAACATGAATCAAAATAGTGAACAAAAACTCTCAGTTATAATGAATAGAAAAGGGTTGTTTGATATGACACATCCTGAAGAAAATGCAAGTATGTTATGTTTATTGAAAGATGATATTTCATTTGACATTATTTCGTTTTCTAGTTGAAGCTTTGAGCATTGAAAAAATGATTACATTAAAAGGTTAGTGGTATGCATTGTTGTATAACTAACTTATTTTATGTTAGGACAGTTGATAGAATTAGAAAGATTAATTGATGAATTAAATGTCCCTCCGGAAGGTCTTACCAAAGATGGCGCGTAAGTTATTCTATGTGGTCATTGGTTGTCTCGAAATTTGTCAAAAGTCATTTAAGCTGTTTTTTGGAATGAGGCGATATATATAAAATAGAGCTAGTTACTATTTAGTCATTGATTACCGTATTTTTTCACGTTGGTTGAATTATATACTGTAGGATCTAGAAAGTCATTTGCTTCTTAAATAATAATAATAATAATAATAATAATAATAATAATTTAATCACTACTTTATTTGTTAATATAATTTCATATGATTACTAAGTCCGAAATCTGACTTGCGCCTCCGCGTCGTGCCTCTTGGATAGTGGGACGAATGACTCATGAAATAACGTGAGTAGTAACCCGGGTGGTAGAGATCGAGTTAATCACCCACTCGACCGATACCCTCAAATGGATTACGAACTCCACAAAGAAACGCAGCACAATTACTCTTGGATGGAAAAACGACAAAAAATTGACAAAAGTGGCACATGTAATGTACGAGGTTGCTCCTCACGGGGCAAACTCCAACTGGTTACAAAAGCAGCTATTCTAGCCCTGGTAGTTGTGCCGTGCTTCGATGTGGCCTGTTTCTCTCCAGAGAGGCCTATCAGGCTTCACCAACTTGTTTGGCTGGAAGGTGGGGGGACTAATTTCAGTGGTATATAAAACTCTGTGCATTAAATAAATAAATTAAAATTCATTGACAATTGTATCACTGAATGCAGTTGAAGAATGAATGCTCAAAGCTGTATCCTTCATCGTTTGAAATTTATCGACCTCATTAAAAGGTAGAATATTATTTTCAAATTGTTTCTTTCAATAAAGCCCGATTCTTTAGTTAAATAATGATTACTTACGATATAATATTTTAGATGTTCCATATATGAAGTTAACAAGAATCTATGTAAACTGTACACTTGAATGCTAACTAAATTCATAAGTACCTGTTTATTTTACAAGCCTCTACAACTGTGATTCGGATAGTTGTAAATTATTAGCGCAAATGGTCTATTTGATTTACTGTGTGTATTTATTTGACCGCAAACGACCATCCCTTTCTGCATTTTATCAACATAACTTTTCAATCAAATGTAATAATTTACACAATAAATCATTCAAACAAAAAAGTAGCGCAAAATAATACTCGATTAACTAAATGTCAGTGTTTTCAAAAGTGATGATATATACCTTGAAACGTCATCAATGTAATAACATTTAATCATTTGTTAATGTGCCCACGTTACTATCGTTTTTTTAAAATTCGCAATCCGTTTTTTCTAAAACTTCTATTTAGTTTCATCTTTGATCTTCTTAGTCGAGCTGGAATCAATCACTGGACCAATAACACTTTACAAACCGTAATCGATGAAATTATGTCATTCACTAATTCAACACATAGTAAATTATTACGATAGTAATTGTTATCGTATGCATTATTTCTTATTTAATTTTGGTAATGTTTTTTAAAGAGTTTTGTATTCAAAAGAGGAGATCAGACCAATATAAAGCTGTTAATGTCAGTTAATCAGTGCAGTCTGTCAAACTGTTGATTGTTTTTGTGTATATCATGTTAGACTGTATATGTGCTCAAACTGAATATAAGCGCAATAGACTGAGAAAATTGTTGGTATCCATCTATGACTTCTGAATCGGATTAATTAATTAATCTAATTTTCCTTAGAGCATGTACGGGATATAACAAATCATTTGTTGAAAAAAATAGTTAACGTTTCACAGTTTATACAAACGTCTCAATTTCGGTTATCATAATTCTCTATCATCTTTTCACAATCTAGATTAATTTACTTACTATTCACCAATGTTTATCTCTCTGTTGTTGTTTATAGTTTGCTTCTATGCAATCGTGATATGGGGGTACTTGAACTATTGTGTGAAATACTACAATCATTTGCTTACTTCTGTAGCTCTGACTCATGCACAAAATGTTGTAAACCATGTAATACATACACAGATTAAATTATTGTTCAAATAATGTCAACTATTTCTCTCTCAATGCGTTCAAATATATTCAGTAGACATTTTAAATGATACATATTACATTGAACATTTTGATGTTGTTTTGATCAGTGATTACCGAATAGTCTTGCTTTCTTCATTGAGTCGGCATGACAGTTACATTGTGATAGGTAGCAAGTAGCACTTATTCTACAGTCATAGTGAACAACAGTATCAGCATTTTAGTCGAGTCACGTTACAAATACAATTGTCATTTTTCAAATGCTTACGGAAACTTCTTTGTGGCTAAATTTATAAGTCATAAAATTAAAAAATGACTAACTGCTAAACATTGTGAAATTTAAAATGTTTTATAGTTTTTTTCTCAAGGTGTAGCATAACGCAAAACCAAAGTTCAAATAATAAACGGCTAATGATACTTAAGTTTAGAATGTCAGAAACGCTTAAAACTCTACATAGATCTACCATTGATATCGATTTCGAATTCTTTCTCTTTTAATCATTAACCATTCCAACCAATAGGTTTCTATTCCACCCTACCTACTTCCATCTGAGCGACCAGATGATACCATTGGTTCTCACACAATGTGTTATGGCTCATAGTCGATTACATAAATCTGTGAGTTAAGTGGTCTGAATTATAGACAAACCATTCCTGTCTGCATTGTAGCACACAATCGTCCGATACACAGTCGACAACTTTCTGAGTTTGTTGTCATTGTCTTTTTCTGACTTCTTTGAGATCCCCTTGACGTTCAGTTCCAGCTACTTGAGATATCGAAGCAAACAATTCCTATGTGTAAGTGGGCGATACGGATTCGTACATTTTATTTGCTGCTATTCACATTCATTCAAATTAAACACTTATATCTAAACATAAAATCATTCATATATTTGGGTTGTAAAATCTAAAAAAACTATTACCCAGTTCGTGTACTTCGTTTTCATTTCACTCTTTTATTCTTAGATGTCAAAATTCGCAAAACCAAAGGTTTACACGAAGTCAGTGAGTTTCTAAAAGTAAGAGTCTTTTATTAAAAACATGGTAATTATATCATCTTGATCAATTTTTCTGATAGTTTTGTTTCTTTAAATTATCTCTCATAAGGTAGGCATTATGAAGTACTTAGTTTATACACTATAGAATAAATGTAATGTCGCAATCAATTTTCATGATTATTATTATTTTTGAGAAACTCATATCAGTAGAACATGATTTTAGAATTTGATGTTATTCAATGAATTATTCGTAGGAAATTACGGGAAATGTATAATGTTTAATCAGCGTTCCCAAGTTTAGCTTGACAACACTGTCATTCTAGTTCGTTCATTTTCAAGCTCGCATATAAATTCTTGTGAATACATATTCCTTTCGTCAGTTTATTATCTAAACCAAATCAAGACGTAAAGTGTGTTATAAAATGATTTTTCCTTATCCTTTTCCAGTCAATAGCTATGAGAAGTAAAAGTTAAGATGTTACCTATTTTCCATGAATTGTGTTTGTTTTTTTTCGACTGAAATTATACAAGCACATATACTGTCAATGATTATATTTCCATACCTATTTATCTGTGTAATGCTTAACTGACTTTGTAGTTACTCCCGACCGTCAGTCAGTCAGCTATACCATAGAAACAGGTACATATATGCATCAATCCAGGTTGCCATACCGCATTAGCAAAACAAGATAAACAAATTCATACCCACCTTAATGTCTTTCTGTTGGTTTTAAGCTACCTACTCAAGCATTTAATTCACCTACTACGAGTACTATGTCTGAGTGTTTAGCTTTCTGAAAAAGTTCAGAAACCTTTGTGTAAAAGTCATCTTTCACTTCATCCAGGCTGCAGTCAGTGGGAGCGTAGACAGAAATGACGAAAAGTTAAAGGCGTGTGTCCCTATCTTTCCGAGTTCTTACAGAACCGTTTAGCCGAACAACACAATAGTATCACAACCCTATACAGTAAGACTTCGTTCTCGAACCTTAAGTGGTTACTTTTAGTCTTACTATTCTTCAACCGACCTACGGAAAAACCTGAGGGAACATGTGCTCCAGACAGTAGATCTCGATTGGTACTCCACGATAGGCTATCCCAACCACTACGTCAAGGTATATGATTAGAGATTCGCTTTTAAATAATTGTACTTGCAAATAATATTTGAGTTATTTAGTTACAGTTCAGTTACGTTAGATTGTGTGTTAGGTGTTTAGTATTTTAATGTAACTATTATTGTCAATTTACTTATATTAGTGCAACAGATGCATTTTAATGAACATAATATTCATTTGAATAATTTATAGACTTGATTCTTTTGAAATTATTGTAAACGGGAAGACAGCTTCAAATAAAAACGGTATTCGTTTACACACAATATTTTTTAGCAGTATCACTATATCCTTTGTTCTATAAAACATTATATATATATATATATATCTTTTTGTAGACTGTGTTTGGGTACCTCCCGGGTGAAGCAAATGTAACTTTCAATTTCAAGACACACTTTAAACTACAACATAATGATTCAATCTCGTGTTATCGTTTACATATTAAAGATGATATACTATCAGCTAACAATTGTAATAAGTATGGTAAAAATGCTTGGGATATGCAGCCTAATACTACTACTACTGTTGGTGCAGCTAATCGTACAATTAGTTATTGGTGTTTCAGTCCTGGACGGTGGGTTATTTTATAATTTGATTATATGTTGTAGTAAAAATCCACTTTCTACAGATGATCATATTTCAAGTGGAAGTGATTAGTTATCATTTCCTCACAACTTAGTAGCGTTAACACAATTGTGAATGATTGAGATCATGAACCGACTGATGTTAGACCACCTTTGGAAACCTCGAAGCACTGGACGGCCATTTCGTCCTATTACGGGACTCCCTAGCAGTGCGCATCCACGATCCCTGTCGCGAGATTCGAACTCAGGGCCTTCGGTCTCGCGCGCAAACGCTTAACCTACAGGACCACTGAGCCGGCATCCAATGGTGATAGTGTCTAAGCACATGTTAATTACTAGTATAGAGGTTGTGGAGATTACTTAGTTTTTCATTGAGATCATGAACCGATTGGTGTTAGACCACCTAGTGACTAGCTTCGTGAGTGAATTCTCAGAGTTCTAGTGAGAAGCCGTGACCAGTGGAGCTAATCCATGTCGGCCAGAGACAGGTATCTACCTCAGTACAATGGAAGATGGTCGCGCAGTTTCGTGGATTGGTTGATGTTAGACATTAACGCCGTTGGATGCCGGCTCAGTGGTCCCGTCGGTTAAGCGTTCGCGCGCGAGACCGAAGGCCCTGGGTTCGAATCCCGCTCGCGGGGTCGTGGATGCGCACTGCTGAGGAGTCCTGTTGTAGGACGAAACGGCTGTCTAGTGCTTCCAGGTTTCCAAAGGTTCATGATCTCAATCAAAAACTTAATAATCTCCACAACCCCTATACTAACAATTGTGAATGATAATACAAGACTGATCTATATCAGTACTTTGTGTTTACGGACAGGAAATATAGTGATTAAGTGTATTCAATATTTCAGGCACTAGGTGAGTTGCACTATCTCTGATCGGCTGGTCACTGACGAGATTTCAGTGTCAATGCAAATATCTCTCGTTAATAACCAATTTATGTCACCTTTGGCAGATATCTGAATTTATGCCCATCCTATTTTGTGTTAGATTACTACTGTGATGCTTCGAACATAGATATCACAACAGAACCATCTGTCGTAAGGTTTCAACTATTATAATGTTAGTTTGCGATAGTCTAAGAGTTTTCAAGTCGAGGCATATTATCACTTCGTGTACCTACTGATCATCGTAGTTGCAAAAAGTATTACCAAAGGCCCACGCCGTGTCCAAATCGGTGACAGAAAACATTGTGTAGCGTAAATATAATTCAGTTACATCGGGACAAACGTTTTCTCTTTTTACCATGGTGTTCCTTACTGCCATTTTATCTCTTGTGCCATACATTCAAGTAAGCCTTCATATCGAACGGTTCAGTTTATTATGTACTGACTAGTGCTATCATTGTGATTGTGACTGATTGTATTCATCGAAGTGATTGACTTCTTCCACTACTGTGCAATCTTTGTCAAGTGAATACCTACTACACATAAGTTTGTACTTACAAATTTTTCTAATTCGTGTAGGATATGTAGACAGTATTATTCTGTCTAACAAGAATGCTTATAGAATAAATACTGTGAAAAATTTTTAGAAATGTTTTCATTAATGTCAAACGTTGTAAATGAAACTTGCTGTTTGACTACTGGATGCAAGAAATGACTTATTTGTTATATATTATGTTATTTGTTTGACAGATCTGAAAGCTGCTTGATCACTAAGTAAATGTAAGTACAGGAACATAACTAAATCTTTATATCACTTATGAAGCTTGTGACATGGATGTTTATCCATTATTGAGTATGTATGCATTACAACGATTTGCTCTACTTTACGAATATTATGAATGATAATAGATCTACTTATTGTTAGAGCCTTATCTTTGACTACCTAAGAATATTGACTGGAGAAGATTTAGTAGATCAACGCATCCAAGTAATTGCTATTCTATATGAAACTGTTAACTTTGTAATAACACATTCAATCATTCAGACAAATATAAGCACGAAATGTTTTTCTAAAAAAGCTTTGTGATGCAAGTCCTTACGCTAATTACAGTCGGAATTTCGGCACAAACGATCCCTTGTATTAAACTCTGGATAATAAAATGAGTTTAAAACCCTACGTTATACATTTGTATGTATAGGGCATCAAACAGCTTTTTCTACTAAATGGTGACTTGTTTTTTACTCAAAATTTCACTGCAAATATTCGAACTACTATCTGAAAGAGAATATTATGAATTTGTTTTTAAAGTGTATATTATGCAAACTCTGACAATGTGTTTATGTATTTACTGCCAAACAGTGATCAAATTCATTCAATGTATTGGTCATGTTGAAATTTTCTCTTTTTTTTCTTGCACACACTTTATATTCACAAATTCTTGTATTTAGTGCTATACAACAATTGATCCAACAAAATGTACGTTGTATCATTTTAACTAGTGGTACACTCTATCCAATTGAACCAATAGAAGCTGAATTAAACTTGTAAGTTGATTATGTACACTGAACTAACAGTTTGGTAACATCAAACTGTATAGTGAATACGTATTTATGTTATATATTTACATTTACCTGCATATTTTGTAATAAAATTGCTTCCACATTGTTCATAACAGAAATTAGTTATTTAGAATTTATAAGATCTATTTAATATCTAACAAAATAGAATTCGTTGTTTAATAGAGCAGTAATTGTCATTCAAATAAGTACGTAGATAAACTACAGAGTCGTTTGATATCGAACTAATAAATTGACTTTAAACACTATAACTTAATCATTTCTTAGAACTAAGTTCTAGATTCACAAGACATATTAACACATTAACACAAAAAATGAAACCTCAATACTCCTCTGTGTTTATTTATGAAAAACGTTGTTTCAAACTTGTATGATTCCATGTTTTCTGATTTAATCATTCGTCCTTATAGTTTATTGAGAAGGATCAAAATGTACATTGTTTATGATATAAAATCTGAGAAATATGTTTAGCAATATCATAATTAAGCACAAATAAAATACGGAAATCAGTTTAAGCCAATAGAGTCTTCAAATACAATCCGAACACTGTGCTATCATCACAAATACAATTAAAATATCAAACGACATCTTCCCACTGTAGTATTTTCCACCAAGAAACTAATCAACCTGATAACCAAATAACTGTATCTAATTTATCTACATAACGTCCAAAGAAAAAAACAACTAATTCTAAAACAATCTACAATTAAAAATACGAAGCTTAAATATACTCTCATAGGAATATCAATTGATAACTAGTGAATAAGAGCAACAGTGTTAATTCGTAAATAAATAAGTTTGTAAATGAAACATGAATCTGCACAAAGTTGTTCAATTTATCTGACCAATAAACGAGTTAGTTTGACATGTTCATTTATGTTATGATTTTTAACTTTATTAATACATTCAAAATAATCATAGTTTTATTCATCTAGGAAATTTCCCATATCACTCCGTAATCCTCATGTTATTAATCCAGACCAATTGAATTTATCAATTATACCACGTGGACCCGATGGAGAGAAATTAAATGCCACCTATTCTGTACGAGAAACGTCTGCTTATCGAAATTCATTAGGTCTACTATTAAGTACGTCATTTATGTTAATTATTATGAATGAATACTTTGTATTTTTCATAAACGATTACACTGTATCACTGTTTGTTAGGGCCCCTAAATTCCTTGATTCAGCTGAGGGCGAGGAGAACCCGCTCTCCACTGCCAGGAAAGTCTCACTAACTACCTTCTTGCAGTGGTAGTGTTTTTCTCGATATCAAGAGAACAAAAAGCAGATGTTCGACGTTTGAACCGAGTTGTTTGAAGTTGGAAAACCCTGATTCCTAACCAATGGTACACATAGGCTCCAGTATCCTGAGGGAACAAATGGTGTATGAACCTATTGTTGATCACCGGCTACCATAAAACTGCATCTCTTAACCTTGCTCCACTGCCTTGTGGATTAGACCTCTAGGTCAAAGGCTCTGGAATCGGCCTCCTGAAAAAAAACAATTTCGGCCTAGGCACCTGGGATCAATATGTTTACAAAATCAATCCAAGTCGTACGACTGAAATGAACTGATAGATATCCACAAAGGTCCTCTTATAAGAGCACTCAATTTACGATGAGCCTGGTGAAGGTGTGCATAATGAGTTATATCTAGCCAAAAACAACCTGTACGTTACAATGTAAATGAAATTCTTCAAAAATTCTACTGTCATATGAAAGAAGTTGAAAAATAATCTCATTGAAAATAAAGTTAGGTTTGATGGTGTAAGATGATACTTCCCTTCTGCCTATATTATGGAAGAATATTTATTAAGTTTTCTAAAAATGATGCTTGATTTGGGGTGAATTTGAGTACTCGGTAGCGTTTTGATTAAGCCCAGAAAAAGGCCCGCTGCACTTGACATTTTTGTGACGTTTTGATATGTTAGCTTCATTTTTTCTAACCTTCCTGCCAGCGAAAAAATTCCACTAGTCAATTTGAGGTATTCTGCTTTTAAGACCTACCTTTCTTAACCCCCTTGTACGTTGTGGTTAAACAATGTCACTGAATATACCGCTTAGAAATCACTACTGCCATCACACCATACAGTTAGCAGTACAACTTGGGTCTCTAGCTTTAATTTGGTACGTTTAGTTTTAGGACCTTATTGAATAAGTGTCCCATCCAATTTGGCTCGATTCGGTCATCACGATAGGTAAGCTGACCACCATGTCGGCATAGTAGTCATGGTTAAGAATGTGTACAAAATTTGCAAATGATTGATACGGAGATGATTGTTTGATTTTTCATTTTCTCAACTTATCAGTATCAAAAGTATTGAAGAACAGAATTGTTTACGGTTTTTAGTTTTTAAGAAATAATCTACCATCTATCAGTGTATAATTATTTCTACATTTGATTAAACTGACTAAAATTATTGTTCGTTATTTTCTTTTCTTTTCTAAATGAAAAACTTCACTGGATTTTTGCTACATCATCAAATGACACAACTTTTGTAATTGATCTCCAGTTCAATTAGCTGAAGTCGTACCTGCTGGCCTATTAATATTTTTTCCATCATATGCGTTTATGTCACAGTGTATCGAATTTTGGAAGGTAGTTTTTTTAAGGGAATATATTTATTAAGAAATAAAATTATAATAGTTGAGATCATGAGTCAATTCAAGCTAGACCACCATGGAAAACCTGTAAACTCTAGACGGCCGTTTCGTTCTAGTATGGGACTCTTCTTCCATGATCCCGCCTCGCAATATTCGATCCCAAGATTTCCATGGTGATATAGCTTCAATTGACTCATGATCTCAACTAATAAAATTACTATAATATCAACCAAACCCCTTTTGATACAAGTAAAATTATGTTTGATTCATGAATTGATTTTTCTTTCATTTTACACATTATATTGAAAATTTAATGGATTACAGTGTTGAATGTTTCGATCAAAATACAATTTTGATCTAATCTTCTTACTTGTTTTGTCTAAAATTGAAATGGTCAAAATATTGTTATCATTTCTATGCTTATTTGAATGTGTCAAGTCATTTTGTAATAATCGGTCATGTCTCATATTTTACTTTTAGAAGTGTTCATTTAAAGTCCGAGGGGGAATTCATGCTGCTGATTGTATAGAGGTGTCACGGCAGTTGGGCGTTTCTTTCATACAACCAGCATAACAGCAATGCTGCCTTCCCACAAGAAAGGGTCGTGTTAGAAAGGTCGACCCTAAAAATGATCACCTCGCCTTATCACGGATTTCTGTCTCTAGCGATAAGATCCCAACAAGTACGGAGCTAACACGAAAATCACTCACAAAAAGGTCGTGCGTGACTGACCTCAAGCAGTTGTCCCTTGGGCACTGCAGTCACACTTTCAAGCCACTAAGCTTACCTCTAGTCTAATTTCCTTTTAAGGTACCTCTAGAGGAATCTCTCCGCGGTGTAGGCAACTGGGAAGTGATAACCGCCCTCATACCTCTAACAGCACTCAAGACACTGTATTCATAATCAATTTCTCTAATTTCTATTATTCCTTCCATCTTGACTATCACCTGTAAACGTCCTCCTCACGTGTCACCATAGCCAACGATTTTAGTGCTCAGAATACTGTCCCACGTCTACTGAAACCCCGTTCCAGACTGCACATTGGAACCAACATTCAATTTAATTGATATACAAATGTATCAACTTTCTATTAAATTATTACAGTTGAGATGATTATGAACTTAACTGATTGTCATGTATACGAAAATGTATCATTTCTATAGAAGTAAATGTACAATCTTTTTTTGATTATCAGTGTTATCCCTTTATTACATCTCCATAATTAATTTTTCTTTATCTTTTTAAATAGAATGGTGATATTTATGAAAATTTATCAAAATTTAAACATATTTTTATTGAACCACGTGAAAAAAGTCAGTTCAACAAGGTGATTATAACAATGCATAATTTTAATATATACTTTGTTCAATCTGGAAAGAAGCATCTTAATAAAGTTTTATTGTTCAATTTCATTTATTGATGGTAAATCAGTTGATGAGGTTGTGAATCTTCATCGACTACGTGTTGCGTATGCCTGAACATCGATTACCATAACGCGCAGTGCTAATCGGTGTTGGGGATGGTTGGAAGAAACTTAGTGGCGGCCAAACTAAAACGTGGTATCGGTGCTTGAAGTCACTAACTTCTAGTCTTAGCCATGTTGGTAGATGCAGACTACTTGGTAGGGGTCCGCGTGACTGTCGTAACCAATGGTTGGAGACTCTTGGTGACATGGCTCAGAATCGATCACAATTTGTCTTCCTTTAATCCATTCAATTAAAATCCTTCATATCTTTCTTTCTACTAACTAATTCTTTCTCCCTATATTATATCCTTATACACAACCTTTTTTTACATATTACTACCGTTGAAGTAACTACTTCTATGAATTTGTTGTTCATCTTGTTGTAGTAATGAGGCATGGGGTCTTGGACCGATGCACATATGTGCCTAGTGCTACGTTGTAGCTGATTGCTTCTAAACTAATGTTACAACATATGCGGTTTAGTTGATCCATCAAATAATTTTCATTTACCAAAGTATCCATTATTATGTCATTCGCTTATGAACAAATTGCCCCGATTTTTCAGTACGTTTAACTGAGATGTATTGACAAAAAGCCGATCATTGTATAATTTATCCCTTTAGATTAACAGAGTTTTGCAGACCAAATAAAATTGATGATTTTCACATTCAATTTAATCTGTTAATTGTTAGTTTTTATGTAGTTCATATAGTATGATTTACACTTTACTACATTGGATATTTCCGACATGTTTACATTTCATCGAAGTGCTACTTGTTTTCAGTTAAACATAACTTGTTCTGTATTCTTTGAATGTTAATTAGTTCGAACATGTCGTATCTCCTGTGTCATTCAATTTTCGAGGATAGTTGTTATTGGATACCCCACCACCACAAAACTGGTTTAACATTGTTATTTGATCTATAATGACGATGTTGTTTAAATAATTTGGTGAAATTTAAGATATTTCTGTTTCTATCATAACTAGATATTTAATGAATATCGAAGAACTGCATGTATTGAAAATTCAATCGGCGCAATTCTTTTCGCTGTAATGCGTGGACGTGTAAGTGAAGGGTTAGATTTAGCTGATAATGCTGGTCGAGGTGTCGCTATACTTGGTATACCTTATGCACCAATTCATGATCCTAGAGTACTTCTAAAAATGTCTTATTTAGATGAACAATTTGTTAAATTGAAATCTAATTCAACAAATGATCAACAGCAAAAAACTCTGATTGATAAATATCCAACTGGTCGTCAGTGGTATAATCTACAAGCATGGCGTGCAATCAATCAAGCCGTAGGAAGGTAAATAAAAAAAAACACTGTTTTTAAACTTATTTAATTAATCAATTTTCTTAAATATTTTGATATAATATGTAATTCTATTAGTAGTATAGTTTACAGAACTAAATAAATAAGTTGATAATACTAATTCAAGATATTTGTGAATTATACAATAACTAATCTTTTGAAGTTCAAAATTATTGCTTAAAAATTACATATGATTCTCTTTGATCGATCAAAATCACTAATAAAAAGTCGTAAGATCCTATTTCGTTAACTACAGAAGGAGTTATTAGCCCGACTAGCGTATTTAATAAGACTTTATTTTTAGTAACCATACAACTTTTTACTCGAGCTCAGGAATAATGTACTATGAGGTTATTGAACACGTTTAAGATTCCGTCGTTGATTTATCGATCAGATTATTATCTGCTTAAAGGAACTGAATCATAGACATACTCAAGGACGTCTAGTTTTAGTTATATCGATTGATATCACACTTAATTCTGTTAAGCTAGACATTGTTTAGTATTGCTTATTACTAAAACAACCTATGGAAGATATACATCAGTGTGTGGATTTATATTGACAAAAATTGCTTAACACATTTTTCGCCTGTTAATACGGACGTGTTAGGATGTCGTTTTTATGTTGAAATTGTTATTATTCCTTTATTTGTCATATGACTTGCTAGTCGAACGTTGTATTCGGTTCCTAAGCTATTCTCGTAACCCCCAAGCTGGAACTGCAAAGCGACCTGAACACGAGAGAAAAGCGCAAAATACGCGAGAAGCACTTTACCCCAAAGGTCCGTTTTAGTACAGAAAATATAGGTTTTTATAGTATTCTAAATGTCCTTGAGTTTCCCGGAAATTTTGGAATCCTACTAAACATAGTAGTAGTATAATAATCAGCCAATCAAAAACTCTACATGTGATTTCTCACTTCCTTGATGTTTCTGGTTAAACTTCAAGTGAACGCTGATTGGATAAAATGCGTCTTAGTGTTTTTTGAACCTTTCTTGTACTTTGCGAGAAGTTTTCTGTATCACCCCCAGAATTTGTTATTAATTAATCATGATGATCACACCCGATACTTTTGTTGTGTTATTAGTCATTAAGATAATTCACTCTTTCTTTGCTTTACAATAGTAAAAAACATTCTTACATAACCCATTGTTTTTATGAATATATAACTGTTTTGCCCATAATTTGCGTTGTTTCTATACTGCTCATATTCCATTTTAAACAATACTGTTTTACAGATTTCAATAATTATTTTTTGTTCATTTTAATCTATTTAAAATAGAGTAATTCGTCATTACAAAGATTATGGTATTATATATTTATGTGATGAACGTTTTGCATCGAATAATGCACAAATGAATTTAGCTGGTTGGATGCAAACAAAATGCAAAATATACAATAAGGTGGAATTACTTGTAAAAGATACATATGAATTCTTTTGTAATATGCGCAATAAAGTAAGTTACTTTCAGTTGTTATTCATTGTTAGAAATGCTTTTTATTGAATGTATATTCACTTCAGTTTAAAGGTGTTAAATTCTTACCAATTCAACTTGTGTTTAGTCAATTTTGTTTTGAGCTCTATCGATTGAAAACATTAAGTCTTTCTTAATCATGGTGTAATGATTATACTTGTAAGTTGTTCAAACCAAGACATAGTTACTATTCCATAAATAATAAATTAGTTTGAATTTTTGGAAATATATAGCAATAGTAAATCATATGTAATACGTTCCCTATTCTATTAAAAAGAAGATGTAAATGGATTCACTGTATATTTTTACTTCAATATGACTGATATTCTCTGTGTAAAAATGTTCACTATCAACTCACAAACTGTCTATTATCATATCTATTCCTCATTGTTCGTTTCTCTCCAAGTATGATATCAAGGAATAGGGACATATAGTGACGTATTTTAATGTGAGGTTGTGTAGTTCTTGGTTTCTATATTTCACATCAAAATGACTCTTACAGTCTATCACCCAAAAATACCTGAAATTATTAATATGACTATAATTCTTGGTATTAGAAGATTTCAATTCCGTAAACTGACGGTTAAGCACTCTCTTTGAGGTTTGAATATCCTAAGTTTTATCCCTTATGGGGTCCCGAACTGCTCGGGAGTCTCATCCTCGGAAAAAATAGCTGTGGGATATTTCCTGGACTCAAATGTTTGTCCAGATACATTCAGCATGTGATTCCTAGAAATTACGCCCGTTACTCCTAGTGGGATAACATAGTTCGCCTACTAGCATTCTCCATCGAACTCTGCCTTATTCATCCTATTCATGTCTACTTCCAATTGTTGATGCAGTGTGGTCTTTGGTCTTCCTCTCCTCTGTTCCCCTTCACGATTTCAAGTTAGCGCTTGCTTCGAGATGCAGTTTGATGATTTCCTCGATCTGTGTCCTATCCAACTCTTTTATGTCTTTTCCTAATTTCCTCTTCAGATGGAAGCTGGTTTCTTCTCTCCCATAGTAGGCTGTTGTTGATGATGTCCGGCCAACGGAAATTGAGTATCTCATATAGACAATTGTTTATAAATACTTGTACGATTCTGATTATGGTTGTAGTAGTTCTCGAAGTTTCAGCTCCGTACAGTATAACTGTCTTGACGTTCGGATTGAGGATTCTGAACTTGATTTTGACTGACTGACAGTTGTTTTCAGTTCCATATGTTCTTCAACTGTAGGAGTGAGGCCCTTACATTTACGTCCGTATCAGATCCTCTTTGTTCATCGATGATGCTACCCATATACGTGAACGTTCCCACCTCTTCCAGAACTTCTCCGTCAAGTGTGATTGGGTTGGTGTTCTCTGTGTTGCATTTGAGGATGTTGCTTTTTCTCTTGTGTATGTTGAGACCTACTGATGCATACAGAGGCTGCTGCTGCTGCTGCTTCTGCTTCACTGATTTTCTTGACCTGCATATGTTGATGTGTATGAGATAGAAGAGCCAGATGGTGGGGAAGATTTGTAGCTCAGGTGGATGATTTTGATGGAGTTTTGTTCCCTGAGCTGGATGGTTTAGTCATGGAGCTTTCATCGTTCAGAAGAAAACAAAACAAAACAAAACTCCATGAAAATAGAAAAGCCAGGTGATCTGCGAAGTCCAAATCGTCTAGTTGCATCCAAGCTATTCATTGTATTCCGTGCTTCCCCTCCGATGTCGAGGTTTTCGTAATCCAGTCAAACACTCGTAGAAAGAGAAAGGTGGAGAATAGACAGTCTTGTTTGATTCCGGTCCTTACTGGGAATGCGTCTGTCAGTTGTTCTCGATGCATGACTTTGCAGTGTAGTCCGTCATATGAATTCAGGATGATGTTGACGATTTTCTCACATACCCATTACATAGTGTCGAAGAAGTTTCCATAATTTCCTCCTATTCTCACTGTCATATGCTTTCTCATAATCAAGTAAGTTGATGTATAGTGATGAGTTCCATTCAAATGATTGTTCAAAGATGATCTTTCGTATCGCATCATAATTCGGTTTACAACAAACTTTTTACCATCAAATGAGTTAAAATTTTGGCCCTGCTGATCGGAAACTAGATCTGATAACTACATATAAAGAAAATCTAATTTTCTCTCGTTGGCTTAATATTTTAAGAATGAAAATGGTGGTACATTTAAAGAAGAAATAAAATATCATTGTTGTCAAAAGCAAATTAAAATTGAACAGCTATTTATATTCCCTTCTGTATTTCTATTTGGATTCATACAAATTTAACTTATTTCTAGACAGACTATTGAATTGTATAACTGTAACTTATTTAATCTACTATACTGAATAATTTTACTAGTCTCCTAACGTCAGTAGTCAGTCTTCCCGAGTACGATGATATTTTTGTAAAAGTTTTAATATAAAATCTTTCCCATCCAAATTATAAATTCATTATTACTCTCGACTGATATAACTTATTAGGATTATAAGAAAAATATCATTGTGTTCACTTCTCTATATATATGGTTTCCTTTATTTACAGTATCCATCCATCGATCGACCTGTTGACACTACTTCAATTGTAAATAATATGTTAACTGAGAATAGTTCACTGCGATCAGTAAATCGAACAAAACCATCTTTAGAAAGATCTAACTTGATATCAAATCTCCCTTCGGCTTTTGAAGTAATTCAATTCGTATTTAGTAATTTTTATAGCATATATCATTTTATGCTTAATATAACTATTTTGAAGAGAATTTTTCTGATATACTCACTGTATCATGAGTAGTTTAGAACTATAAAGAGCTTATTGATTACTTATTTATACTTTAATCCTCTAAGTTGTTTACTGTCTTGATCTAGTGTTTTATCAATAAGAAATATCGATTAACAGTGATCTTAACACAGAGGTACACTGTTTTAGTTTGCAGTGCATCCAGTTTGTAAAGTCTTAGATCATAGGAGGAGACTGAAAATGTATCGTTTTCCTCCCCAGTTTCTTCTCACTTTGACGAAACTCTAGTCTGACGGCACCATAAATAGTCGACTAGTTCTGCCTCTACTTTCGCGCCTAATACTACGCCCATATCAGCCAAACTGGATGAGGTTGCAACAGTGCCCCCTTATAAACGCGCGTGAAACTAGCTTTACGACTCAACAGACGGAGAACGAGTCTTAATTATCTCACTATTCTTAAATACGGGTCCTGTATTTAAAGCAAACGTTCTCAAAACTTACCAAAAATATAGCCAAACCTACCTTTCATCCGACCTGCATCAGTATGTGTATGTTGATTGAGCCTAGTTTGCAAGTCAATCTTCGTTCCAGAACGGCTGTTTCAAACTTCTACCATTCATTTACTTGCGATCATTTAGATGGAACAGAATTTTCTTCATAGACGAACTGCTGGGTAAGATGAGAAAGAAAAGAATGCTTAAAATGGAAATGAAGGGTAATAGATAGGTAACGCAATATCAAATGAAGCCGAACATAACCAGGTAATTGTGAATATGGTTTGCCAGAATTCGGAGTACGAATACCCTGCATTTGTGGACAAAAATACGAATAACTGGATTTGATAGCGAATAAACAGCTGTACATTAGTAGTATGTTTAAAATATACAAAATGAAAATAACTTCATTTTAGTATGTGGTTTAAAATTTCATCGTCTTGATTGTCGAGTTTATCTTAAACACTTTCTGAGATAAAACTAAATTATCCGCGTCACTTAGCACTACTCATTGCATAAATTTATTCCTTCTTTTCGTATAGCCATTCAGTGGTTCTTTAAACTCTACTAGCACTCTTGGGTTTGTTTGATTACAGGTTTACTATTGATTATAATGTGTAGTACATAACCCAAGCACTTTAGTAGGTACATCATCATCTATTTACTTACCATTTTTAATTAGGCTTAAAACTGCTTACTTTGTACCTCGATTGCAGGTCTGTTTTAAACGATAATATTTCGGCGATTTCATAAGATCCTAATAATGCATGCAAATGACTTTGATGTTGCCACAAACCATCCGGCAAGTTCACTGCTTCCCGTATTGTTGTGTTGAGATTTACATAATCTATTCTATAAACTCTCATACTATTTAATAGTTGAATTCATTAGTCATATTAGTCGTTTAAAGCTAGACCACTATGGAAAACCTGGACAGCTGTTCCGTCCTAGTATGGGGCTCCTCAAAAATGTACATCGACGACCTCGCTCGCGGGATTCGAACGCTTAACCTCTAGACCACTGAATTGGCATCCAACTGTGTTGATAGTTCGTAGTTGCGTACGTATATCGATATTAGTGATAATATCATTATGTCTTTCTCCTTTTATGCACTGATATATATAAACACAATGTTGGTTACTTATTTCACTTCTCTCACTAACCCTTTAAATTAAGCTGAATATATTCAGTCCAAATGTGAATGATTCAGTTACTCTCATAACAAGTTATCATTCGGATCACTCACCGTGTTCATCAAAACTTCATGAATGTAATGTTGATTATAAAATAGATTCTATCTCGTCATCAGCATCCATATTTGATACGGTGTACATTGAATCAGAGAATATAGACCAGGTAAGCAATTTAACAATAAATGTATAGATTTCAGTCTTGGAATTTATGTTGATAGTTTCATTAATATTGGTTGAAAGGAAATTTTCCGGCATATTGACAGTTTCATGGAGCCTAGTTGTTGTACTAGCTGGTTTGATTTCTAGTCTAAACAAAAAACATCGTTGATATTTCATTTGTAGCTCTACCGATATATTCAGTTTCTCATCAATATTTAATAAAATGATGGAGTACTTTGAAAAAATAATTTCCTCTATTGTATTCTGTGGGTATGATCTTTCAACTAGGAGCGTCATTGTTCTGAACCATACCTTCTGAGGTTCGGTAGATTTTCACTTGTAGTTCTTACTTATAGTCTGCTACATGAAGCTGTTCGGAGTTGTTGATACTGAGAGCCATCGCTGTCTACAAATGGAAGGTAACGACTTCAGTTCGACAAAATAAAAAATGAACATTCGTAATTTTAAAATTCCATTTTGTTGGCTAAGTATTATTTACCGTTTGTAAAATTTCGAAGTTAGATTAAATGTTTCATATAAGAGTATTGTAACATTTCATCAGGTAAATTTATTCGGTATTTATTCTTTGCCATATCGATCTGTGGCATCTTTCCATGTGAACGTATAAAATTATAAAACCTGAGTCACTGGCCGTTGCTACTAAGCAGTGATTAATTTATCGAGGTTTATGTGAAATCTTAAACAAAAATCATACTTGACAACTATAATTTATTTGATTTATCATTTATATGTTCGAAGATATAGTTGATTTCGCGATTTCTTTCAAGTTTCATTTCCTTTTTCTAATCGTGCGTTAACGTTTTTTCACTGTTTGTTTGAACATGTTTTCTATATCTCAATAGTTGAAATCATGAGTCAATTGAAGCTAGACCACCATGGATGACGGCTCACTGGTCAAATGGTTGAGCGCTCGCACGCGAGACTGGGTTCGAATCTCGCGGGGGCGGGATCGTGGGTGCGCACTGCTGACGATTACCATACTAGGACGTAACGGCCGTTCAGTGCTTCCAGATTTTCCATGGTGGTCTAGCTTCAATTGACTCATGATTTCAACTATTGAAATTACTAAAATCTCCACAAAATCCCTTCTGATATTTATTATATAATTTATTATCTTTAAAGTTACTAATTAAACTTTTTTTGATGGTTTTATATTTATGTTCTCAGAATAAATATATATCAAATTCTAATTCATACTCTGGTGATCTATTAGAACAGAAGTTATTACAACGAAAACCATGTAAACGAATAAAACTTTTGGAACAGAAAAATAATTCTATAGAATTATCAGAAAATGTTTCATCTACAACTATTGTAAATAATGATAATTCTTTATCATCTAAATATATGACCTTGTTAAAATCTGTTCTTAAATCGAATGGAACCAATGAATCTGTTTATGCAAGTCGTCTAAATGATTTTAAACAAGTTATGAAAGAATATAGACAAGCTATAACACTAAATCAAAATACATTGATCAATCAGTCTAATCAACTGGTAGAAGTATTATTCACTCAATTATCTAGAATATTTGTACCATTAGAAGCACCTGGACTTTTACAAGGTAAGATATCCTATATATGAATAGATATCGTGTATTCTATTTAGGACACCATAATAGTCAGTTTCTCTTAGCGCGTGTGGTGCTAAAAGTACTTGAGATCAGTCAAACATGAATGGGAAATATTTATCATTCTTGTTGTTCTGCATAGATTACTTCATTGAAGGTATTGATCATTCGTCTTTCCATTCCCTCAACTAATTTCAGACCATAAAAGCTGTTTTAAATTATTCAATATTTAGAAAGCCATCACATTCAGTTAGTCAAATGTAATGAACAGTTTGGTACGTATGTACCTCAGTTCAAGTTGATATGCACCACTAGCACAGCGAGATGAAATTGTCAGACGAAATCTCAGAATAGAAGAGGTATTAACAGTATGAGTGGTAATTGGAAAGATTACGCATCGAAGATACGATCCCAGAAGAGAATATAAGTTAGTGAAATACACACAAAAAACGTTTTGGAGAACTTAGAACATCAGGATTTGAGGGAAGACAAAAAAGCTAGTGCACCTGCGACATTTCAAGAGATTTTGACGACATCATTAAAAGTCTTTAACCACTAGTTACGACGATCACGCGGACCATAACCAGATAGTCTACACCTACCAACATGAACCAGTTCATCAGTCAATTACTTCATGGACTGATGCCATGTCTTGCTTCGAGCAACTCTAGCTTCCTTTCAACCTGCTCCCACATTAGACATCACCTACCTTGGTGAGCATTTTGTCAGCACCTTCACCAAACAGAACTATATCATCTTGGTATTCTAAGTTAACAAGTGAATCTCCTACAAGAGCGACCCTCGAAAAGTCAGATGATGAAAGTGTTATCCTTAAAAGCATGTTTATGACAAGGTTGCATAAAGATGAGGAAAGCGAAAAACCCTGAGAAACACCACTTGAAGTAACCAGTTCCGATGACAGTTCGCCATAAACTCTGAATCGACCAGTACTGTTCAAGTAGGGAGTTTGTACAGAGTTAGCATGCTTCTTTGGCAAGCCTTTCAATGACAGACATTGCTACAAAAGCTGTCAACCCGTGAAGTCGTATACCGCATGAAGATCAAGGAATACAACTACTTTAAAAAGAAGAATATATTTGTAAAATCTCAGCGAATGAATTTTAAGTAAATCCAACGTTTCGCCTGGCAATCTGGTCCAAGCTTTTTCAAGGAAAATATAATCAAACAACAAAATTATTCGATTTACTTAAAATTCATTCGCTGAGATTTTACAAATATATTCTTCTTTTTAATGTCTCAAATTAACTCGGCGCCAAAATATTGTGAAACTATTCGTTCAAATTTAGACGAAAGTTCTTATTTAATTGAATACAACTACTGTCGGAGGGTACGTCTATTTCCAAAATCTGCCGAGCAGTGAATATTTAATCTACACATCCACGTTGAGGTTTGAAACCAGTCTTGTCTTATCAGGTTTGCTCTTAGTGAACCGCAACTTAGCGTCGGATTATTATTGAAACTAGTTTAGATATTATAGTAGTCAGATTGATTTCTCTGTGATTGTCGCAAGAACATTTTGTCGTTCCTCATAAACTAGGACGATTATTGAAAGAGACTAGTTAAATTGGATTACATCCAGTTTCCAGATTTTAGCTAAGATCTCAGTTAATTTAAGTGCTAAACCTAGAACACCAGCCCTAAAAACCTTAGGGGTGAGTCCATCGAACCCTGCTGCTCTCCATCGCTGTAGTTTCCTTATAGCATTTTCAGCCTCACTGAGAGTTGGAGAACATACATGAATTCATCAATCATGTAGTTTGGAGACAGTAAATAACTGAAGTTTCGGACTCAAAATCTGAGTACCACACTGCCGTGCATGGGTGACTTAGATGGTCTTATTTTAAAAAGACTGAAAATAAAAATTATTATATTTTTCACAGTCCAACTATTCACTGTCGAAAAGTCAGCGTTTATCTTTCACCGAAACCAAAACAGCATATTAACGATTGTTTCAAATCCCATTGAGTCTATCAATTTAAATATATATGCGGAAAGATATATTTAAGTAGGAGTGATCGTGATCTTCAAGTAGTGATGGCTGAACATATATCTAAATAGCTACAAATAAGTGAATGTCATTGATCCAATAAGATCCCTCCATTGTGAATACATATGGTTTTGAACGCATATAGGTTTGGTATCAAGTTAGATGTTTTCCGTGAATGGTGTCTTGACAAGTATGTGATCAGATTTTTCGAAATGTATTGCGTGAATTTAGCATGTGATTTTGATAACCTTCGTCTTCTCATCAAAATTTATCAAAGCGATTAATTATTTTATACTTCTAAATGATATACAGAAGAAATTAATATTGTTCTGATTGGGTTAATAAAACAATAAGTGTGTGCTAAACTACTTATATTGTCCATGTGAGATATTTTGCGTTTTAATATAAAAAATCATATCTCGAATTTTCAGTTCTTATTGTCTATAAGAAATCTACATTAATTCACTCACCATACACTTGGATATGAGCCAAATTCTAGGTATGAAGATCAATAATATTCTCATTGTCTAAACCGTAATATAGATGGGGCGGAATTTTGAACCAGGGAGTTAGTGTTTGAAAGTCTGACTCCTTAATTACTAATTGTAGGCATTTCATAGAAATCCACAGGTCGCCTACAATGATGTTGAAACATTTGTGCACAAATTGTCAATTCTAACATGTATAGTAAATGTCTTTCAGAAAATATAACTTCTTGTCTTGAAAATATCGGTTTTATTAATAAACAATCTATTCTTTTGCAATATATTTGTACGTATCTGTATGTGTCTACTACATATGTTTATTATTAGATGCCATTTGTTTTATCTTACCGGAACATCGTAAACGTTATGCTGAATTGTGTCATAATTTGACGGGGTTACCAATTATTCAATCAAATTCAATAAATAAGACTGTAGATACTTCAAATCAAGGTATGTAATCGATTAAAATAAGCTTATATACGTTGTACTCAGATTATTATTTCATTGTTCTGCAAAAAACCACCCGAAAATTCGGTTTTTTCATCATCAGTCAATACGACTTGTAACATTGAATTATGGATGTTGCATTCTAACATATGAATTTCTAGCGCTGTTTTTCGATTTTTTTTTCATGGAGTAAAACCAAGAAATGTTCTAGTAGTTAACCAAATCTGCATAGTCATCAAAAGCATGTCTGGTATTCCCTGTTTATTCTTTTGGGGTGATGTCAGAATGATAATGATCATAGTTTTTAATATTCCCCTCAGTACTACTCTATAGTTGTGCAACGTCAATATTTCTTTGAAGAAATAACTAAATATTATTTACGAAGTAATACCCCAATACAGTGGAATCACTAAACGAGTTGCTTCAAATTCCAAATGTAAATGAATAATCCGGTTGTTGAGATACTAAACTCATATCAAATAAAACGCTTTATTCATTTTTTTGTTACGTACACCTAAGTTAAAAAATATTCTTTGTCCATAGACTACTAAAAAACTTAAGTACGAAGAAATGTAGATTCTATATATAATCTGTAATTGCTAAGAATCCTTTGCGTCAATAATAAGATAGATTTCAGCAAAATATGTTGTTTGACTTTTTTTTAAGTATTGTACTCCATATTTTTCCAAGTGTCTCGCAGCCTAGCAATTAATCCAAATCAGCCAGTGAAACTAGAGAATATACCTGAAGTCTCAATGAAATGTTGCAAATGCTCAGCTGATCCGGCACAAGTCCCAGTGATATCATGCTGCAAGCACATAGCTTGTTTTAAATGTTGGCGACATATCATCGACAAAGTAAGTACTATTTACTATATTTAAGTAATTTAGAATCTGAAACAATATTGCTCGATTATGTATAATTACTGAGATTGACGTTTATTCCTAACTCCATCCTTAATTTGTGCTATTTGTTAGATTACCTATTAGTTCACTTTTTTTTCCAAACAAGCGTATTAACACCCATTCTTGTTTTGAATTTTAGGGTGATCATCAATGTCCTGTATGTAGAAAATTACTGAGACGACGTGACTTATCACGTTTGACACAAAAAGAGGATACGGAACAAAATCTTTAAATTTTATTATTCAAAAAACTGTGAATCCGTAAGCTGAGGAATTGTGTTCGTTATTCTTATTTTTATACGAGAATAAAATAGATCGCCCCTATACAATGACAATTTTTCTTTATTTTGTCTTTTGCTCTTGATATTATGATCTCGGATCACAGGCTTAGTGTATTAGAATCAGATCAAGGCTTGTATAAGCAAACATCACAGAAACCTATTCCAGTAACTCATGAAATCATTTGAGAATACGGAAAAAAATGCTCTTCAAAACTAAAAGTAAATTATAGTTCACTACATATGCTCTGAACAGTTGCAATGTGTTTCGAGTCACTCTTTCAAAATGAGGGCTTTATGAAACACATGCATATTGGCGAATCAGACAATGCGACAATTCACAATCATAAAACATAACTGTCCTTGATATCCGAATAACCCTGGATTATGATTCGTAATAATCATTTACTATTGTATCCTAAGGTCATTTAGTAATCAAATACGAAAAGGGTCTAGACTAGTTTTCTTCTTACTTAACATCAGTCAATCAGCTTCCATATGACTAGACCGTTCTCTTTTAAATTCATATGATCAAACCATGTTGATCTGATGAACGCTACAGGATCACGAATTGTATATGTATAATATAAGCACTACCTTACTTTTAGCTACGGTACATAAATAAGTGGGATATCCTAATTAAATCGACAATAATTAGTCCAATTGATATACACTGAGATACAACCTAAAATATCCGCTAACTAACCACTTGATTCAAAAACTTCCAAATAAGTTTACAACGATGTTCTTTTATGTGACCCAGTTAAACAATGATGCATGAATACCTCCGAGTTTTTTTAATAAACTGATGAATTAATGAGCACGGAAGAAAAATGTTTTGTCCCTCTAAGTGATCTCAATTCAAAATATAATAGGAAGAAATATCTAAGTGAAATGTGTTGGATATTCTGTTGTTAACTCGTTAAAACAGAATCTCCAAGTTCATGTACAGATACGATAATGACCTTCCCGTCTCACATACATTCCCAATGAGGAGTTGTAAATACAAGATTGCACTAACACTTCTATAATCCAGAACAGAAAATTTATCGTATTTTGTCCATTTATATACAAATATCACATAAATACGTTTAATAGGAAATCAATGTTTTTGAGATGTAGTTATTCTTGAACTTGATCGACGGTTTTTTTGACGATTGTTTGGAGATTGACTTAAGGTTGAGCAGTTAGATTTGCTTGCTTTTGGTTTAACAACTTTCTCATTTTTCTCACCATTATTAACATCACAATCATTCCCAACGGTTCCCAATTGTTCAGTAACATCCGGAAACAGACTTGTATTGACAGACGTTGAAGATATCTTGACGTTAAAAAAAACAGATTAATATATACACTGGACAGAAATTGAAATTTAATAGATTTTATTTTTATTTATTTGAACACATAAATATTAGTACAATGGGGCACCGAATACATATGCGCCACATAAATCACTTGATTTGCATTTGTGCTGTGATACTGCCCGGGTGCTCAGACCGAAGCAGGTGGTCTTCTTAGGGGACAGCACCCGGAGCCTTTGACGCGAAGGTCTGATTCACAAGGCAGTGAAGCAACGTCAGGAGATGCGATCCCATGATAGCCGGTGACCAATAATTGGTTAACACGCCATTTGTTTCATCATGATCCTGGAGCCCATGTACACCATTGGTTTGGAATCAGGGTTTTTCAACCCTCTAGGTGAACCTCTCGTGTCCACCAACCCGGTTAAAGCGCTAAGCATTCGCTTTTCGTCCTCTCAATTTCGTAAACAACACCCTCGCCGCGAGAAGGCAGTGAGTAGGACTTCCCTGGCAGAGGCTATATACGCGTGGCCATGTGAGAGCATTTCGAGAGGGAGAACTGACTCTCCTCACCCTCGGCCGTACGAGGGCATTTGGAGGCTTAATAGATTAGTGGATATACTCCAAGGAATTTGATACAAAGTTCAATGAATAACGTTAGTGAGATCCAACAACCAAGTACACGTTTGTGTAGTTTCGAGCCACATTCGGACGTTTGGAAAGAGGTAGGAAAAGAGAAGGTTGAGGTTGAAAATCGAGTGCACGACCAACTAAACCAAGTCTTCAGTTAACCAGCATGAGTTTATCCGAATTCAGTTTCAAGCGTACTAATAACCCTAATGAGAATTATACGTTTATAAAGGCGCCTTACTACTTATTGAAGCCCATCAGTCTACTCCGGATGACCGTGCGCTTGATCATAAATGACGACTGTTACGTAATGAAATTGAGCAAAGCTTGCGCAACGACCCAGAACCCTGGTGGTAGGAGCCAATAGTTGGAAGCAACAGCTGTATCTGATAACTGCCGAATGCTAGAACACCGCCATACTTATCAAAGGCCAACAATCGTAGTGTTTCTTGACATCAGGGCTGCCTTCGATTCGTTGGATAGGACAGTTCTCTGGAATTGTCTATTGAAGAAGGGTGTGTCTGAGAAGTTTATTAACATTTTATAAACCCTATATACAAACACCTCAGGCAGAGTGAGGGCATACAACTACCTCTCTCCATTGTTCCATTCGAGCAGTGGGGTTAGGCAGGGTTGCCCAATCTCACCATTCCTCTTCAACTTTGCCATCGATGACATTCTAGAAACAGCTCTGATGGATGTAACTAATAGTGGTGTGGATCTGTTGCCTGGAGAAAGATTTCTCGACCTTAAGTATGCGGATGATATTGTCTTACAGTGTTATGATGCCCAAGGCATGCATGGTATGGTATATGCTTTGCACATTCCAAGTGCAAATACTTTTACGAGACTGGCAGAACCCTGATCCTGCACTCACACTGGGTAGTGAGCAGATAGATATAGTCGGGAAGTTCGTGTCTCTGGGTAGCTACATAAGTGCTAGTGATGGCGTGAGCGATCAGATCAATTCACAAATAGTGAAAGCCAGACAGGCTTATGCCAATCTGGTCCATTTTTAGCGCCTTCGTGATGTAAGTCTGGCTGTAATAGGTTGAATCTATAATGCGTCGGTAAGAGTAGTTTTGCTCTAAGCTTGTGAAACCTGGCCTCTCCTGGTTAACGATGTTAGACGACTCTGTGTTTTATCATCGTTGTCTCCTAAGTATTGCTGACATCCAGTAGCAACACCATATTAGTAATGCACAAGTTCGGCATCGTGTGTCGGGCACAGCGACGATAATTTAATTGGTGTCACTAACTTGAAATATGGACTTCGGTGGTTTGCACATGTTCTACGGATGTGGTCCTAAAGAACTTCACATCGTGCATTATTTGCCGACTCTGGAACAGGTTGGAAAAAGTGGAGAGGTGGTCAGTGTATGCATTGCGTCATGTTATGAAAGTTGTACATGACTGGCTTCTGTTGGTCCTTCACGACTCCCTGGTTAAGGGTCGTAGAGGGGACTGTATCGGGCATGACTCATAAGAGAAGTCAACGGCAGTCCTACTGCAACTTTTTTTACTTTCTTCATAAAAAGAAAAATGAACGTAACTTCTTTAAATAGAAGGATTCTTTTTGGTTGTATTTTCCCTAACTGTACTGCTCCTCTCCTTATTACCATCATTATTATTATCATTTCATTCTCACGCACTAATTTATGTTTATTGTTGTTCTTCTTTTTTATTATATGCACTTAGCATTCTCTATCTCTTCAAACCTCATTGTTGTTGTGTGGCTCATATGTATTTGGTACCCCTTTGTACACATGTCTGTGTTCAAATAAATAAGTTGCAGAATAAAAATGATTGGACTTACTTCGGTTGATACAGACAAATCGTCCTCAGAATCTTTTATTTCGGGATAAATAAATTTGTCCGAATCACTTTCAGCTTCAGAAGAAATTATTTCATCTCCCCAGTCATCATTTATACTATTAAGAAACTGTTCTGTATCAGGTGACAGAGGTTCATTGACATCAAATACACCGGCATCAGATTCTTCAACCGATTGATACAACGATTCCTGTTCATACTCTGAGTCATCTTTCATCAAAGATGACATTGTATCCACATCCAAATATTCATCATTCAGGATATCAAGATTTTCTTCATTGTTTTCGGAACTATATAGATTTAATGGAACATTAGATTTTCCGGTAGGATTGCTTTCATCTAAGGAGTGAGATAGAAAATCAAACTATTTCATGTCACACATTATAAATAGCCACAACTAATGAAGATAAACAATGAGAAAAATTTTTACGCCATTTGACCTATTAAGATTACTACAGGAAGTTTACATAATAGATTTTAAGCTTGTTGCTTAGTATCCAAATAGTTCTAAAGCTGGTCTGGCTGTACATAAATCATTTTATTGTTAAGGAATATCTAAACACGAAACTGAGCATTTTAACGCCATTCTTCAGGAAACAGAGTACCTTATTTTTCAAATGTTATTCTCTTTAAAAGGAATATGCAAAACGATGTCCTTTACCAGTGAGTATGCACCAGTTATCATTCACAAAACTGTCTGATAAAATGTTTACTTCTGAAAACTTTAGGTGTTCACGTTTATATTTTTTGAGAGCGTTGTCTTGACTAATTTTCAGAACAATGACAAACTAAGGTACTAAACAATCCTTCAACTTTTCACTTTGAAATGAAAGATAAAACAAAAAACTTGATAGTTTTGAAAAAATATGGTTAAAATTCATTAATATTAGAATTCAAGTGGTGTGCATTACTGTTAGTGCGTGGCGAAAGGAAAGTACTGAGTTAACCATCAACAAACAAAGTCAAAAATTTACGAAATGAAGGTATGCTCACCTTAACTGATTGTATGCACATGCTTTATGTAGGTGATACAACAGTCTAACATTTAAATTATCTAGACCCGTCGGATTTTGTTAACATCATCAATGACGTTAAGTAATAAAATAATTTCTAATTGTCCATTTTACCAGAAGCATTCTGTACTTATGTAAATACGTTTTCACCAAGGAATAATAAACTAGTAGTTAGTCCCTGTCTTCTTAGATCCAACCCATAAAAAAATAAATTATTGCGACGACCTATTATTCGCCATAAATTCTCGTTAATAACAGTATATACATGAATAAGATCGAGTGTTGAACTACTTAACAAAAAAGATTTCTTAATCGGAGGTTGAAGTCTTTACTTAATATCATAGCTATCTGCTTGAGTATTAGAATCCTATTAGGATTCATCTTTACTCATACAACGAAATTCCCTAATGCAGTATGGTAACGTTAACTGATGTATGCATGTATATGGTTTCAGGCTGCGTTGGACTAACTGACTTATTACTATACTTTACTCAGTCACCGTACAGAAATTCTGAAATTTCAAATAAAATTTAATTGTTCATTTTTGTATTGATTGTTTGAATCTTCCCATTGACGCTTAGGATTGCAATTAATCAGTCTCTTATTAGCATATTTACATCCTATGCAGATTGCTTCGATATTGTCTTAAGTCAAAAGCATTATAAGCAGAGATGGATAGAGGATAGAAGTGGAGTTCAAGCACTGGGTCCAAGTCCCGGAGTGAACATCAATTGTGGGTTGCAAGTACATCCAGCTAGCGGGTTCCAAATGAGAAGAAATGCAAATCCTGATGGCTAACATTCATCTCTGCTTAAAATTTCATAGTATTGCTAAACTATGTACTTATTTGTGTAATGTATTGAGAATACGAAGATAATCAGAATTATGTGACTTACTAGCACAAGGCGTTTTGAACTATTTGATCATACATATATGAAAAATAAAAGACCGATTAGACGAATCGGAGGTACTAGGAAACAGAGATAGAGGAGGAACAATACAAAACTCACCATCCTTGAAAATATTTCATTATCACCAGGGCAGGTTTAAGTTGGGAACACTGCTTTTGTAAATATAAAAGGGGTTTGGTCAAGACTTCAATAAGCCTTAACCTAAACTCTAAACAATTTTTGCACAAAACCAAACAGTTTGAGGTTAGACCAACTTTATGACACGTTTCAACTGTGTCTAGTAATAAAGGACGACAAATAACTATCATCTACTCTTATCATTTCATGTGATTTGACTTTATTCTGTAGCCTTTTTGGTACGTTTTCAGAGACCCTACTTTGGTAAATCACAATTACTACTCTTATTCATGTGGCCACACACGTAAGTAGAATGATAAATACAGTGAGATTTGACCTGATCTGTATAGGTTTTTGGTGAAGTATGAACCCTGCTTTTTGAGTGATAATGACTTTTACTACATACTATGTCTCACAAAGACATGAAATGGGGTCTTTGTCTTAACACAAGGCACATAAATGCGACGGTCCAAGTTGCTATACCGCATAGCACAACAAAATGAACAACCAATTAATAGAAGTAAGTTACTTCGATGGTAGTAATATGTAAAAGAAAGGTTGCATATAAGGATACAATATATAGAGAAAGAATTAGTTCGTAGAAAATGTGTAAAGTAATTTCAATCTCACAATTAAAGGGAAGACAAAGAGTGAATATACCGACGCCATTGTGATCGATTCTGAGCCATGTCACCCAGAGTCTAACCATTGGTTACGATAGCCGCGCGGACCCCAACCAAGTAGCATACATCTACCAACATAGCTCAAACCAGAAGTTAGTGACTTTATGGATTGATGCCACGTCTTGCTTCAATCGTCCGTAACTTTCTCCCATCCGTCTCCAACATTAATCAGCATTGCTCGTAGTGGTAATCGGTGTTCAAGCAGGCGTAACACGTGGCCCAACCATCTCAGTTGACGTAGATTTACAACCTCATCAACTGATTTATGATCATTCCCCAATTACTTGCGTCTAACCTCACCATTACTCACCCGGTGATCCCAACAGATACGAGCAACATTTTAAAAACATGAGCGATCAAATACTATTAACCTACGACTATCCTCTACCATTAATGGCCACGTTTCTTAGTTGTTAATTAAAGCAGAACGAACTGCTGCGTAGTATACATAAACCTTAGCTGATAGACGGATGACGTAAATTGGCAAAAGCGAAATGAGCCTTTTGAATCCGCGCAGAAATTTCATCAGACACCAACCTATTAGGGCTGACCAGACCTTCCAAGATAAGTGGAATTGTCAATGCGTTCGACTACTTCACTGACTGTCCTTAGTTCATGTGCTGACGCAGGCCAGTCCTGAAGCAACAATTTACACTTAGAGGGGGAGAAACGCACCTCAGAAATCATGGCATTGTTGCTCAGTGCTACCAAAAGACTGCATTTTACCAGCGTCTTCACTAACACAGAACTAGGTCCTGAAAATTCAGACGATGAGAACGTTATTATCAGCAGTAGGTCTTTGATGACATTAAACAAAAACGAAGATGGTGGACAGCCTTGCCGGAAATCACTTAAGGATGCAAAATCACATGAAATTTGGTCATAAGCAACGTTCGAGTAAAGAGTCCTCACACGGTTTATGTACTTTTGAGGTACTGAGAGCATATAGGAGTGCCGTATTTTTCCGAGATAATCTCACACTCGACTTCTTAATTCTGGTTTCTTTTATCAGTCTGAAAAACTATCTTGTGTTAACTACAGTCGCTCCCTTTTCCATTTCTTTTGCTTTTGTTGCCTACCACTGCTTACGATCGTTCCGTTGACTTTTGGCTAACCTAGATCTGACATGTTTTTGCTTCCCATCATGTTCGGAACCTGATAAAAAGTTTAAGACTATTAGTCTTACCTCTGAATGGTAGAGTGATGTGAAAAGGCCTATTTGGTGCTTGAAGTTTAATGTTTCACCATACTGTGATACAAATAAACAAACCCTCTATTTGCATTAAACTAGGCAATAATTCACTTTTGTATAAAGAAATCTAGCACCGATACAACGTCTAAAGTCTCATCACTTTAGTACTTACCATCAATGTATACAAACTTTGTTTTAGGTAGAACCGGATAATAAAATCTACGAGGGAAGTGACTAATAAGCTTTTGAACATTTGACCAATTTTCCATGGCACTACCACGGTTAGCAGCTCTTAAAAACATATTCCCCATCCCACACATTTCGTAGTAATATGAACACAAATTCTTTAAGACCTTCTGAATTTCTGGTGTTTGCATAGAAGTTGAATGGTGTTGTAGACAATAATCTAACCAAACAAGCACTTGTTGAACAACATGTGGATGATGATTTCCAGATACAACAAGGTTTGTTAAAACTTCAATAAATCTAAATAAATGAATGTGACTTTGTACAAGCTTCTCAACTTGAGTTTTGATCCATTCCTGATTTGTTTTCTGTACAAAAAGCTAGATTTTAATAAACAACTAGGTTAGATAAAATAATATTTAAAGCCATACTTTATTGAAATTTTTAGAGCTGACAAGGAGTCCATCCAGGTCATTTAAAAAATCAGTACGCTTTTGTATCTACAATGGAAAATAACACTAAAAAAATTTCTACAAACCTTTGGCTTCGATTCCAACTGTACATCTTTTTGTCGCTTCATCTAGGAAAAGTCATTGACAAAGATCATATTAGGGTTAAAACGTAATTAAATATGTAGTCATTCAAAAGTTTTGTTTCATGTTTTTGATTGTAAGTACAAGTGTATAAAGCAATTAGTCCCTTAGATAAATTTCAATAATGTAATAAGACGAAGATTATCAGAACTATGTGATATTTTAGCGCAATACATTTCGAACAATCTGATCACACATATACTTGTCAAGTGTATAATGTTTTAATACAATATTCTATAAATACTCAATAACAACATAGAAGGAAAAGACACCTGAATTATTAGTTCTGTAAACGAAAATGAGACGTTTAAAAATCTAAAGTAGCAAAGTTCATTTTAAGAGTGGAATATCGATACACAACATATGAAATATGAACTAAGCTATCTAGCAGATAAATATCCATATTTACCCATTCAATTCAGTGAATTAGTTGCTTCATGTTTCTGGTGAAGAGTTTATAATCTTTAAGTACAAAAGCCATATCAAACGAGATCCCACCGACAATGTGTCATGGTTACTCTGAACAACTATTTCAGCCTCGTCTCAGCAAACAACATTTATGAAAATTAAGTGATTACTTGCAACTTCAAAACCAATGACTATCTCTCACAGGTTTGCAACTAAACTGCCTACGTGAACTGAATCTGGTTAGTAGGAAAATAGGGGTAAATGATTATGTGTAATGAGTGAGTCAGGTAGGATTATGACTTGAGCAGTATAACCACTCTTCATAATGTAACCCAGAAGTGAATGGGTAAACATGAACTTAGTAGAGAAGTTACACTACTTATTTAGACATTTTGTGAAGGCAAGATTTTATACAGATATGAGAAATGAAAGACCTGGGAAAGTATATATTAGTCCAATATGTTACCTAGGAACTTTAATTAAACTAGGCTGAACAGAAGATTTTGTCCACAATATTCAGAACTAATGCAAGCCACAATGAAAGAAGTGTAGTAAGTATTATATACATAACTATCCCGAGCATAGTGACACTTTTAAATGTTAAACCTGATAAATTATCATTGCCAAATGTTTTGTACACTTCTTCTTATTGAAAGCGACCTTATATACTAAGCAGAAAACCGAGTATTACGAAAACAATATCGAGAAAGAAACAGACACTATTCATAATGAGACACGTTTGGAACCAGAGCCTTTCCAAGTTTCAACCTACCGGACATTCTGTGACAAACGCTGGTGCCACACCGTCTCAGTGATGTGACTGTGTAGTGTTTAGACTCCTACCTCTGTAGAAAATATGGATGAGGGTCTTAGTACGTACTGAGATCAGGCAGTACTGCCTGATCTTATCAATTTATATCCATCACCCAAGCTCTTAACATTGGGACAAAGGTGATCAATCGAACTACTCAGTGTTGATTAGTTCGTCCATTATTCAAACTTAGCTTTCTGGGGAATGAAAAGGTGTAGCCGTAAAATGTGGAATGAGACATTGTGTCTAACTGCCAAGATATCGGCCTAACTAGCATAGCAGTTAAGATATTTAATATAATTCTCGGTTACTTAGACTTGAAGAATCAGGCAATCTGCTAACTCCTGGACAGTACAGCGTTCGGAGCCGATATGGATGTCTAACTTGCCAATTTTGAAACGAAATTAGACAGCACCCCAAGATTTACTTAGTCTACCGATGTGACAGACGTCAGAAAAGCACCTTGAAAATGTCTTACTTGGGGTTTATACAGATCTCCAGACTGAAATCAAAGGAACCAAACAATAGTGAGTACAACAATTTGTCTGTGGAAAAGAAAGAAGAAAACGTTAGTCGACGACCCAGAAAGCGGACATAATGAAGGGACCGCAAAAAAAAGTCAGGCTCACTCAAAGTCGCCCGCCGTTCGTGTACGACGACCTTGAATGGCCTGGCATGAGGCGGTCATTCTAGTCTTCAGTCTTCAGTACTAAGGATAGTAGATTACTGACCCTGTGTTAATCCTGAAAGATTGCATTCCAGTGAAGGTTTAGATTCTCCTTGGAAATGCTCACTGATTAAGCCGATACCACTTGTTCGTTCAAGGCGTTACAGTCACTGACCACTCGATGAGAAAAACGGGATCCCACTTTAAGTTTATTAGATCGGGGATTATGAACCTTTTTTATATGACATCAGAGACTATTAGTGCTGGAGAGAGCAAAAAGACAGGACATATTAACACCCAAATCATAGTTAAAGATAAGAAATGCCAGTATAAGGTCACCTCGCGTCCTACGATAAGACAAGGCGTTTTAAGCGCTCATCATAAAAGGGTTTGGAAAGACCCTTCACTACTTTTGTTCCCACACGCTGAATACACTCAAATGAGTTTGCATCTTTATCAGAAATGAGCTAGCTGGTTGAATACAGCACTCTAAGTGTTGTCTTACATAGGTGGGATATTAAATTCTAAACATTTCCTCGCCAAAGCATTTGAATGCTCGGCGAAGTGACTATTACGCGCGAAAACCTTTGATAACAGCTGTGTTGCAATGCGTAGTTGTTTTCAAGTCATGACTTATTAATACTCCTAAGTCTTCATGTTCTTGAACGCGTGGAAGAGATGTACCATCCATAGTATAATTGTGACTATTACCGAGTCCGATGTGCATGAGCGCACTCTTCCTAGAATTAACTTCAAAGTCCCAACCTCGAGCCCATCTAACTAATTCACCTAAGCCAGCTTGGAGATCCAAATGATCAGCCTCACTTTTTATAGTTCTCCAGATTTTCGCAACATCTGAAAACAATAAAGTTGACGACTTAAGCAACATCTGTAATTCATTGACGTAGAGAGGGAAAAGAAGAAGCCTAAGATGGTGCCTCGATGTACACCACTTTTGACCGGCTTCCAATCTGATGACGTTTTACTGACCCTCACTCTCTGTCTGCGGTCATAGAATAAGTTTCCTATCCACTCCTGTACAGCGTATATTATTCCGAAGCTCGAGAGATTCTGCATATGACCTACGTTTGAAATCTTGTCAAATGCTTTGCTAAAACCTGTGAATATCATATCGGCAGACAGACCGTTATCTGAGGCTGCTGTCCTCTCTCGCATTAAGTAAGTTGGTCAAGCATGAACACATGTTACGAAACCTATCTTGCTCGGAAGTTAGCATATTGTGCGAATCTATGTGGTTTAGTAACTTAACCCGAATAATCTTTTCAAGTAACTTGACGACTATGTTAATTAGACTGACAGGCCAGTGGCTAGATACGATCTGCCTCTGACCGTCCTTAAACATATGGGTGACTATTGCGTCTTTCTAATCTTTAGGGGGTTCAGCGAGTGGAAAGGACATGTTGAGGAGCGATGCGAGCTGTCTTGAAATGATCTCCGCAAGAGATAACAGCAGTCATGGATGTAACCCGTCAGGGCCCAGTATCTCACAAGTTTTGAGGTTAGTTATCTGTCGAAGTGTCCTCAGTCACATGTAAAAATCCAATGGCTGGAATCTTGGCGTTATTGGGAAAAGTATTTGTAAAAATACGCATAGATTAGACTTCGCTAAAATAGTTTGAAAAAGTTCCAGCTTTTGCACGACCTGACTCAGCTAGTAAATCTGAATTTTCATGTGACAGTAATGAAGGAGTACCATCATTACGTTTTATTCACCGTTTAACATACGAAAACAATATCTTCGTACAAGTATGGCTGTCATATGCCAATTGTCGTTCGTAAGTAGTACGGGATTTAGCGATGGTCTTTTTGTATATATTCCGGAGTCGTTGATATACATACTTAAATGATGCATGTCCTGGTGACATGTATAAGTCCCAGAAGTGTTTCCTACGCTTCAACATGGGCAATGTGAAAACTTATGTATTGACCATGGGGTATTATTATTATTATTCACAAACATCTTACCGGTACATAAGTGTTGTGAAGAAACAATTTCGGGTTTTTTCAAAAATGCAATCATTCACAAGTTTCAATAATTTTAGCATTACATTTGAAAAAGAGAGTAATAATAATAGAATGATACTAAGAAATTGAGAAGAATATTGGATTGATTTTAAAGAAGGAAAGAGGGAAAATAAGGCAATAGAAATAAAGGAGATGTGAAAAACGCAAATAGTTTAATAGGCTTGTCTATGAACACAGAACAAGAATAAACGACTATGTATGAAGGCCTATCATTTCTAATACAGATGCAACCTGCAATGGTGATAAGACAGTCTATATAACTGTGAGCCATGTTTCTGTGACGAATTAATTTATCCACCATCAAACTTATCTCGGACTTTTATTTCGAAGACTGCAGGCGTTCGTGTAGCACACTTTTAAGGTGCGTTAGGAATCATTCGTTCTACCCATACAGGTGTCGGAAGCGTTATCCTCCAATACCTGACTACCTGAAGACCCTTAATCGAAAGGTTAGTTTCGCCGTTTAACTTTCGAGTTCTTAACTCGGTAAGAGCATTCTTCCATTTGATTAGGTTCTAAAGCGTCCAATATGATCGGATACGAATATTTGACTCGCGATTTTTGTGTGCGTTATTCAATATTATGTCGCTTCCCTCAAAACTCCCGAGTACCAACTTGAAGATCCTTCTTGGTTGGGTCTCGCCTCCAACCCATTTACCGAATCGTGTTGCTCTCGTGATATGTACCCCAAAACATCTTCAGGCAGTACATTTCTGATTACAGATTCCTTTAACTGCAGATCGTGTTCATGTCTTTTAGCGGGGTCATTGTCTTTTGACCCCCCCCCTAGATTCCAGCTAAGGGGAAGTAAATTCTTTTGAAATCGTGTTCACGGCTTTCGACCGTGATGTCAGATTTCGCATATTGACTCCTGGTACCGTGCCGTTAGTTGTGTTTGTAACAGTCATAGAGGTCGAGGGAATGACTGACAACAATGTTTGGTGAGGTCTTAATCTAGGACTTTGGCGTAGTAGTTTTGGCTATCTTTCCCACTCTTCTACGTCTCCGCGGCACCAATTATCCATCAGTCGCATTATCTAAATTGGAAATACATGGGACGTTAATGGTTTTATCAGGATCGTCAGCCGCTGCTCTAGCAACTTGCTCACCAATAACCTGTTACAGGAGAACTGAAGACATTTGTCTGATTAAAATGTTTTTGTATATTAATAATTTTACTGTTTTTGTGTGTACTTGTTCTACTAAACTTTTGAACTTGTTTGTTTATATCATTAATTTCGAACATTTTCTTTTCTTTTGGTTATTGGTTTGGTATTTGGGAGTTTTTGCTCCGGAAACTTACAAAATTGAAGAGAGACATTTTGGTCGACTATTTGTAAATCGCAAATACATTCTGGCGTTTAATTGGAATTCGGTTCTATTGTTAATTTGGGTTCCTGAATTGCAAATACGGAAAGAGCAAAAACTGGGACGTGAAAATATAGTTTCGGGGTAGAGAGCTCGATAACGTGTTTCACAATTGTGTACCTGGCAGGTGCTGTGACAGCACTTGCGACAATGACGCAATCTTCGCCATCAGCACCAGGGCAACCAGCATTTTTATTCTTACAGGTCTAAGCAAATAGGTTCACAGCCTCCTGGAGTAGTAACGTCTTATTTGTACAGCAAATTATGCAAATCCGATGCGGTTATGTTTCGAGCATCTTTTGTATACGGTAAAACTTAAACGGGTACACACCATATTAAACCACTTATTATACTCATCGAAGTGTATACCTTCACCCACAAGGGGAAAACAGTTTGGCTGTCAACATTTATAAGTACAACTAACCAGCGTTTTAAAATCAAGGTTTAAAACGAAATATGATCACAATAAGAACACAGCTGCCAGAAAGAAATTACCACAAGACAATATTATCTCAGATTTCAAACGTTAACGGAAATACTTCAAGTTAAATTGGACCAAGAGTGCTTTTGATGTAAAAACTACATAAAAGCAAGGATAAACACAAATACAAAGTCACTGCAATTTTGGAAACGCGTATTTTAATCGCTGTAGGTTTGTTAGGTGTCTGTTAGATTGCACGGATATTTGGCGTCCTCACATTTAAACCACAAAATCATTGGGTAGTACATTAATTTGTCAGTGTACACATTGTTACGAGTGTTGCTTCAAGTAGTTCAAATGATTGTGCTATGAAACAGAAGAAGCTTTCGCTTAATGGTCTTCCGTTTCTAGTAGCAGTGGATCAACAATACCTCCAGACAGGAAATTAGGTATATTAACGATAAAAGAGGGAAAACAAATTGATAAACCTTACTTACACCTGGCACTCCTCGTGAAGGAGCATAGGCCGCTCACAAGCATTCTCCATCCAACCCTGTCCTGAGCAATCCTTTCTTGCTCCGTCCAGTTTTAATTCATCGTTTTCATATCTGCTTCTATTATCCGACGCGATGTGTTCTTTGGCCTTCCACTTTTCCGCTTCCCTTCAGGATTCCAAGTTAGGGCTTGCCTCGTGATGCAGTTTGACGATTTGCGTAATGTATGTCCTATCCATTTCCATCGTCTTTTCCTAATTTCTTCTTCAGCTGGAAGTTGGTTTATTCTCTCCCACACAAGGCTATTGCTGATGGTATCCGGCCAATGGATGTTGAGTATCTTGCGTAGACAGCTATTTATAAATACTTGTACTTTCTTGATGGTGGTTGTTGTAGTTCTCCAAGTTTCAGCTCCATACAGTAGAACTGCCTTGACGTTCGTATTGAAGATTCTCACTTTGATATTGGTTGAAAGTTGTTTTGAGTTCCATATGTTCTTCAATTG